CATGAGGCAGGTGGCTCATGAACCAACCTGACTTTAAAGAACCTTTCCGAACAAAGCAAATCTCACACTGTTATGGGCAGATAATGATTCCTCTCGACCTTCAAAATACTGTGTTATTAATCATAATTACAAGAAAAAATTTCACTAACTACGATTGAGAACTAGAATTATTTAAATACAGTAAGTTGATCCAAGTGGTTCTCACATTTCTAAAGGAAGTCATCCTCCTAAACCTCACAGAGTGCTGCCAGAAGAATTCCTGCAGCTCAACCCTTCTGCCAGTCACCAGTCCCTGCCCTGTTCCTTTTTATCCACTGGTTCCTATGGCTGACTGTTAGCAGTCTCAGTGAAAGTGAATTGCATTTACTATATTCACTGGCAACTAACCATCACTGTCAGCCAATGAAGACTCTTGCATATGATGAAGATGAAATATTACCTTTGTAATTCATCACATTTTTGTGCTGATACCCACTCATGTAATATGGAAAACAGGAAGAAAATAAAAATAAGTAAATAAAACCCCCAAACCAAAAACAAACCAAAAAGACTGAAAGGGATGGGGGGGGGGGAAGAATGAAAGGCAAAGGGTAAATGAAGAATTAATCAAGAAAAAGAAAGAGTAATGAAGTGTGGTCACACCAAAAATATTAAAAATCAGAGTGAGAAAGACCCAAGATCGCAAACCAAAGAAAAAGAGAAACAGATAAAACAACTGGGCACCAAAGACTAAAACTCTTAGAGAACAGAAGCTCTTTTGCTACTGATGCATTAGTACTATTCAAGATTATTATAATTTTCCTAAATGTTTATTTCCCATCTCATTTTACAGGCAATGGCACATGAAATTCCAGCATGGAATTCTGAATTGGTTGATTTGAAATAGAACCAGTACTTCGTATGCCAGTGAGAAATCCCTGTGGTCATATAGACCATCAGTAGTGATCTTCCTCCCAGGTTTTTTACTGTGCTTCAGGGAATCGTCACACAACAACTGACCCTTCCTCTCCCCTGCTGATTAAATGCTGCCTTCCATAAGAAGCAACCAACAAAAAGGAGCCAAGGCAGCATATGACAACAAGCACACACAAGTGTTTACTCTAAAATGATAGGTGCAGTTTCATGATGAAAGTTACTCAAAATTGGGAAATCTGATGCATGACCAGTATTCAAAACTTTGGTAATCCAAACACTGTCAACTCCTTTCTAGAGGATTGCTTGGAGGCAGGCAGGACTCACCTGTGAAAACCAGGAAAACTCAAAGGCGGAGTATCTCTGGCAAAGGCAAATGCCCAGTTTATAAATAATCACATTCACAACATGTGAAACATCCTTTGGGTTGCCCTTTGCCTCTTTGTCCCAAAAGAGGCCTAGAAAACAGTTCTTTTGCTGATGTAAAGGGTTGTGTGGGCACTTCTTTGTCTCCCCCCCACCTTCCCCTGTGAAGAGGTGTCATCTCTTCAGTACCCAGGCCTGAGGGACTGGAGAGGAAAGGGTCTGCTTTCTATTAAGCTTTCGCCTTCCCCAAGTGGAAGGGGAAAAGCCCACTAGCTTTCCTGCCTTTCTGATATGGGAAGGGACACCCACGATCTTGAGGAAGGTGACCTGTCCCACCACCACCCAAGCCCTTACTCCAGAACATCATCGGCATCAGCCTCACCACTGCCCTGAGCCACATCACCACTAGCAGCATCCACACAGCTGGAATTTGTCCTGCTGAGCACACAGAAAAGCTTCTCCCCTCACAGAACAGTTCCCTTCTCCTGCCCGTGCTCAACCATGCTCTGGTTACTGTGGAAGGCTGTCAGGGCCTTGCTGAAGTCAGAGTAAATGGCAGTCACTGCTTTCCCCTTGTCCCACTAGGACAGTCACCACCTCAGGCTCATGTTGTTCCCAGCACAATTAGTCGACCCTCAGTGAAGCTGTGCTGGCTGATGCCTCCAAGCCATCTTCTGTCTTTTGCTGCTCTGCCCTTGTACCACCAGGCCTTTCAAGTAAGCTCTTGGCTCAGGCATGATGTGATGGTCTTATCAAATCCCTGCTCAATCCTGCCACTTGATACATTTTGCCTCCCTGCTGTCTTGGATGAAAGAATTTCCTACCAAAGGCCAGGAGGGCATTTTATCCCACGGTTTGCAGCAGGAAACTCTTGGATTATTGTGCTTCTTCAAAATTCCTGTAGTGTCACAACAGCTGAATCTATTTTCTAACACTACTCAAGTGCAAATTTATAATCTGAACTATTGTGACAGAAACAGATTCAACACTTGGCTCAAAGTAGGCTGAAAAGCTGCTCTTGCCCCCATACAGCAAATAAATCTATTTGCGTTAACACAGAACTGACACTGTCTTTGCAAACTCATCATCAAGGGAGTTACAAAAATATTTATAAAATTTATAGCTACTTATAGTCCATAAAATAAAAAACATGACACAGCTCCGATAAGAGAAACTGCAATGAGAAAAGGTCTTGGTTTGATTAAATGCTTGCTGGGTAACATCTTCAAGTTATGGGATTTCTTGAGCTACAGAAACCACTTGCTGATTGCCCTCCTCTTCTTTACTCCTTGCTCTTTTCCTCTGAAATAAACAGCAAGGGACACAAAGGAACAGACTTCCTTGATTATATCCGAGTTCCCTAGTGCTTTTCATGAACACATTTTAAGTCAAAGAGCAATAGAAGTGACTGACAACATGGAAGCTGATTATTTTTATGTCATTTGGTCTGTGAGCAACACAGACTAACTGCATCTCTTGCCAGGAGGATCCGTGCACTCCAGACAAGGACTAGTTGGATGCAGTCTTAGCTTTGTACACGTGCTATGTCCTGCTGAAGAGTGGTGGAAGCTGGAACATAGCTGGTGACTTTTAAGATTTATTAACTTAATCTTTCTCTTCTTTTGGTCAACTTGAAAGCATGAGTATTTTGAGGGTGAATTCAGGTTGTATAATGCTGTCATAGTCTAATAAAGAAAGTGACTAGAGATTTCATTATTTGATAATTCATAACACAAATAGAGCATCTTCTTCCCATCCTACCACCAAGTATTAATATCCATTTTGCACGCTTTTTATAGACAAGGTGAACAAGGCATTTTTAAGTTCCTACCCCTGTAACAATAACTCAACATTTAAAAGAAAGGGTAACTGCTACTTTGCGACAAAAGAGATGGCTTGCAGTGGCATTTTTTTTTTCAAATGACAAACTAGGCAAGGATAAACTCATGCAAAATTGTTAGCACACTCTCCCTATTTCCACACAGAAAATCACAATACAGTTTGAGTGGAATACAAGCTAACCTAGAAGCATTGTGATAAATCCTCAGGTTCAACTGAGCAAGAGAGAGGAATTTCTGGAAACCTCAGAAGTATCATTCCAAAGAATTCAAATAAGGCACCAAGCATAGGCTTCTTCAAACAAATATGAATGATTGATATAGACTACCTTAGTGAACACACAGACTGAATTCTCTTGCATATGACAAGCAGCTTCACATTCTCATTCTCCAGACACTGGCTTTTTCTCATCATATTTGCAGTTACCAATGCATGCTGGCTTTTTCCTACTCATTTTCTTATAGCTCCCCTAATATTATTTTCTTTCTTTCCTCCATACTAAATTCAGAAATATCTTGGGTCACCTCTGTCACATACTTAAAAACGTGCAATTGCATTTAATACAATCCTCCTGTAGAGTACCCATTCCCAGATAAACCATATACTATTTTTTGACACTCTTCCCCTCTACCACAGGCTCACATTCTTCAGTAAAGATAGAACTGAGATGCTAACCATGTGATCAATGAAAACTCAATAGCAGTCACTCAAGAGAAGGCCTATTAACTTTTGGGCAGAATTCCAAATTTGTGGCTTTCTACCTGAATTGCCCCTTCGTTTTAAAGACTACAGCAGTTAGCACTGTTGTCCAAGATCTTACACAGCATAATATAATCTTCTCATTGTTAAAATAGCAAACATTTGGCAAAGAGTTTGGGAAGTAGCTTTTATACATTGCCCATTTAAAGTCTATTCATGTTTTATATGTATGCACAAGATGGTGTAAGAGGCAATGGCTGTACAAAATTTAGCATGGAGTCTTCTCATTTTGCCCAAACTCTCAACTTTTTTGAAAAGTAAGCTGTGACTTAAACACCTTATTTAAAATCTGTTTTATTACATTACCAACATGTTAGTGTGCTAAGCTGCTAACAGGTGAAAGCTGATGGTTTCATTCATCTGTGATGAATGAACAATACTATAGCACCCCAAAAATTGCTTTATCATGAAATCTCAGTGAAGCATATTTAAAAACACAAAATATTCTCCTTCGATTATTGTAGTAGTTTGGAGATGAAACCTAAGAATGGTAATTAAGCATGAAAGACTGTGGATGTACTCTGGAGGTGCAGTACAGCAGTGTTTTAAGTGGGATGAGGAGAGTGCTCCACTGTTGTTCCTTTTAATGTAATTTGTTCTATGGAGATCATGAACTGGATTTCAGATGAAAATGATCTGGAAAATACATTCCAGGAGTATATCTAGTACATTCCAGGTGCAATTGGGTACTTATTCCCTAAGACTGGACTAAAAATAGTCCAAACCAAGTAACTCTGAAATGTGTACAGGACAGATGTCAGGTCCTCTATTTCAACTGTTTTGCTGTGTGATTATGCTCCTACTGAGCTGCACTAGCTGTAACTGCCAACATAACTGCAAATATACTGCTTCCTGATGAGTTAGGGATGTCAATCATGGATGTATCAGTCTTATAAAACACTAGTAATCATGACAGTACAGACCTCTGAAAAATTTTTAAGGCAAGTCCAATCAAATTGCTCTATTGACAATCATGATGGGAAAATCATCAATGCTAGGTTCTTGAAAATCTTTGAGATTTGCAACTCATTTCTGAAACACAAGCTATTGCAATTGTTAATTATTTGCAGAATATCAAATTTAAAATAGAATTTTCAAGCAAGTGCAAGAAATCAGCAATATACCTTATTGCTTCCTCCACGGATTGGCCAACTATATTTGAGGAGGGACCTGGCTGAGACAAAGGTGTCAGGCTTATCACCCATTTTACTGGTTTGTAGTACTCATCACTGGAGCTCAGTAGGTAGAACAGTGTGGTCAGAAAAATCACCTGCAAAACAAATTGGACTTTTAATTTAAAGGTCAATAAATACTTTCCAGAATTACAATATGCAACTATGCTTTGGATATTGAAATTTACTGGAAAGGCACAAGATACTCTTCTACACGTCTGGATTTAGAGAAACACACACAGCTAAAAGAATAATTTTCTCCCCTGTCCCATTAACACTTATAGCTAAACATTATAAAACTTCTGTCCCTGTTTAGCCTCTTCCCAAAGTCACATCGAGATCAAACAACTAGAATGTTGATCTAGATCCGGAATGTTATTCAGCATTCTAGTTGAGGGTTTTTTTGGTTCTTTTTTCAGCATGTTTGACAGATAAAAAAATTGCTGAATAGTAACATCTATTATCAAAACAAACAAACAAAACTACCAAATAAATTTGAGCTGTCTCAAGAGTCATTATGCAGCTGGGTATCATACATAAATTACAAAAAACTCACAAACATAAATTTTATGTTAAGTTGGCAATCCTAAATGAATACTCCTTCTATGAGTTTGATGATGGGTCTCAGCAGAATTGATGGTAGTTCCATTGTTTTGTTTAAAGACATAAAAATTACAATCAGATGGGACTAGCTTTCTGTATGTTGCAGTCGATTGTGTTTCTTTTATTTTTCTGTTAGTGGGTTTGGTAACTTTTTGGGCTAAGCGCAAATCACAGAACTGTGTTGGTCTTGAAATAGAATACCTCAAACAAGAAAAATCCATTCTGTATGCTCCAAATGGCTTATATTTGCTTTATCTACAAGATTCAGATATTTTTTCCTTTCTTCCCATGATTAAAAAGGATTCTTTCACTTTCCTTATTGTCAACCTACTCGTATGCTAGAACAAACCACATCTTTATCTTTTCATGAACCAAAGAGCTCGGCCTCCCTAAGTTTATTACTTTCAAGTATTTTATCCAGCCTGCAGATACCTCATGCCCTTTTCTTTCATTCTTGCTGAAGATGCTCAGAAAACAAAATGCACACAGCACAAAATGCAGTATTTCATTACCAATCTCAAGAATGCCATCCATCTGCCTCTGTTCCCTTATACTCAGTGAAATATTACCGCTACTTCCCCCTACCTTACACTTCTAGTCACTTCATTAACTATTCACATACTATGACCTCTTTACAAAATGTTATATTGGTTTAGGCTGTAATCCATCTTCCCAGGTGTGTAGCTCCTGATTTGGGTGACAAACTAATCTCTCTAATCAAACAAATCATTACATTAACTATTTCAAAAGCCTTACTTTAATGGGAAATAGTCTAGTGCCATTAGCAGTATCAGCTATGTTTTTTTACACTTTCAAATAAGTAAATCTTAAAATTTGCCTTAGATTTTACCATCCTCTGCAAAGCTGTGATTATGGTTTAATCTTCTCCCTTGACGGGCTCTGTTATTTCTCCTAAGCTACTGTAATATTTCCTGATTTCACTAGAAACCTCTACACTAAAGCAGGCACCCAGATGGTGTTGTGTCTTCCTTCCACTGAGGTCTGCCTACAGATCCTTCTTGTAAGTGCAGTTTTCAACAGAGAAAGCAGTATATTGCTCCAAGTAGAGTATCTGCTCATCCTGACTGTTCTTCCCCAGTGTTTACAGAAGGAACTTGCTTTCTTAAGTAGGAACGACACAACATATACCTGAACTGTAAAAGCCAAAGTGATGGCTGGGAATGAACAGGAATGAATAAAATGGTGTTAAACTGAACTACAAGCTAGGAAAAAATACAAACTCAATTTCTGCTAAGATAAGATGGACGTAACCACAGCACCATACAAAATTAACTGAATTTTAGACTATCTGCATTTTGAGAAATTTGCATAGTTCCTTTAGCACAATAGGTACAGAAATGCAAAAAAAAAAAAAACAAAAAAACAAACCTGTCACTGATTCTTCAAACAAGTAGAATAGCCTCAGCAAATTCAGCAGCAAAAAGATATGCCCTATCTTGTATCAACTGTAGCATGAAAGTTTTCAGACCTCTTTCACAGATTATCTGAGATACCTAAATTGTTTCCTAAGCAACAATCCAAGATCCTGCTGATGACTATTAGGAGGAATTTACCAAAGATAAACCGTAGGAACTGTCCATAGTTAAGCAATTGGTGGGTTACTTATATCTTGCTATAGAATTTGTACTGTAGCCAAAAGCATTAAACACTAATTTGATCAGGGACAGACTGAATTCAAGGAGAAAGCTGTGGGTATACACTGTATACCAAAATAATTCAGCGTTTCCACAGATACCAAGAAACACATGACCTAATTGCTTCTGCAACAGGTCCACTGACTCACTAAATATTTTTCTATCTGCCTTTTGTACTCAATTTTCTGCTGAAAAGCTTCTGGGTTTTGTTTCTTGGAGTTATTTTGCTTGTTTTGTTTTTTTATTTATTTGTTTTGTTGTGTCAAAAATCTGCATGTTCCCTTCAGGACTTAGATGCCCATCAATCAAATTTCTCTTCCTATCTTCGTAACAGAGCATGAGCAGAACGTGTGTGTGCACATGCACGTGTGAGCATACATGTCTGCATATATATATATATATATATATATATAAACACCCACATAAAGCCATTCACATACATCCATGTGCATGCATGTGCAGATTGGAACTTGTATTCAGAAATGAAAAAGAAGTGGCACTTCTGTAATTCATGATGAGTTTTCAAATGTCTGTTGAGGATCTGACTACAGCCTTACTGGATCACAAATGGATATGCTACACAGATTGACATTCCTAATGAACATTTTGATGGAAGATATATTTTTCAAAATGGAGGTTCTGAACAAAGTGTCTATTACATCTGGGTTTTAAAGAACAAATTTTTGAACCATTTATCAAAATAAAATTCACTATTTTTATTTTTATTCAAGATGACTAAAACTGGACTGAAATATAGTCAGTTGAAAAGCTAAGCACTTTGAGCATCATCTTGCTGGAAAATTTAAGTTAGTCTGTGCAACTTCAAAATAGTAAAAATTTTTCTCTAGCAACTAAGAATCCTGCCGAATGAAAAAATATGAGTAAAGTTGAAGTATCTAATTTTTAAAAGAATTCCAACACAGCAAGATCCCAATCAGCTCTGCTAAACCAGCTGACTGTACAGTGACTTGCACAAGGCAAGACCTTGCTGACAGACAAAAAGTCAGGATCATGCATCACAGCAACAGCATGCAATGAACTTACACTAAATCATTAGGCATCTAAAGCTGAATTTTGTGTCTGAGCATGAGTGCCTGGAAATCACCTGCAATTAGTATCCAAACTTGTAATTTCGAAATATACTAATATGTCAGACACTGTTTTCAATGTGTCATCACAGGTGAAGTTGTGGACTAAGGAATAAATTAAATATTCTCATGTAATCTATACTTAACTGAATGACAACTTGAGAACAAGTTGCTGATTTCCCTGTAACAATTTCTTCTATCTTCTGAAAGCAATGGCTTATATAGGGATATGTTTATGAGGACAAGTCATAAGATTTCCCTAGTTACATAGTTTATCATGACTTACAGCTTGGTATCTTCAAGGCCTGAAACAAGAGGTGTCCATTAAAAGAACGATAGGAAGACTACCAGCTCCCTAAAGTGGGAATTAGACAAATCTTGCCCTCTTGTATAGAATGCCCCCAAAGAAATACAGACTTTGCAAAATCTTAAAGAATTTTGGTCTTAGGCAAATGTGGATTTTTTCAATACTTGAGTTTGATTTTTTATTGTTACAACATATGCAATTAGGTTCCTTCAGTAAAGCACACCATGTAAACCAATGACATACTACTTACCACAGAAAGCACAAAATTGAGAAGAGCTGTCCCACTGTGGAAGAGGATTGTCACTAATGTCGTAACTGTAGTAAACAAGAGACTGACATTCCGACTCATCACTATCCACAAAGACTCCAGGATCTGAAAAAGAAGTGAAGATAAAGTCAGGCATTGGATGGTATTGGCAAGGACAGCGAATTGCTTACAGAGTGATTAATCTCCATCAAGTCATAAAAAGATGACATTTTTTTAAAAAAATCATCTTCCCTCACTCTGACATTACAGCAGGTAGTATCAAGTGAAAATGTCTACTTTACCAAAGACAAGTTCCTATGAAGTTGGTTACAAGGTTTTGGAATTTTTCTCCCAATATTTAAAACTATTTCAGTATGCAAAACTGCAAAAAATCTAGATGTGGTGACACATATTTATGGTCATTAACATTGCTGTCAAGTAGATCTTGTCTTGGGACAAAAAATTCATCGTTTCAAAAGCGGAAATGCTAAAATATAAAGAACAAGGGTAACATCACAAGGTAGAAATAAATATGAAGCTTCAAAACAAACAATAAAATGACTACTTTAATAAATTTATTTTTAAAAAGTTTCATGGCAATGAAATGCATAATTTTTGTAATAACTGCAGCCAAATGCACAAGTTATGGTTTAGAGTAGAGACGCAATAGTTAGTCAAGTAATTATGGAAAATAAATCAAACACTATTAGACAATCTACTAAATTTTGTACTGGTTTGGGGAACTTATTGCTTATTTGTTACAGATAGTAAGGACTAGTTTTGAGACAAAAAAGAAGGCATATGCAGGCCTACTAAATGCAATGCAGAGTAGTTTCATAACAAATATTTAATTCAAAAGTAAGAATGTATTAACCAAAGTGACTCAAGCATATAAAAGAAGCAAGGTCACAAACAAAAAGCCATAGCTTCTTTCAGACTAATATAACTGGAAAAACTCTGATAGAAAAGCCCTTCTCCAGATTCAAAGCTGCAAGTGTAGACTTCAAAACTAGCAACATTTATTCTTGCTTTAATGAATAGCAATTAGACTGAACTAAAATCAAAAAATCCAAACCAAATAAACCCAGAACCAAATTAAAAAACCCCAGTAGCTAGCATTTGTAGACTAGACTAAGGAGTGTGAGTCATGTGATCACCTCTCCTTTAGAACTGAGTGAAACATATCAAAAACAGTTTATTAAGCATGAACTTGACAGGGAGTAAGTTCTGGAGGAAATGACAGGGAATTACAACACAGAACGATCTACTTAGTTCATGCTTATTACTATTTAATGGGAATTATGAATGTTAAAACTCATAGTTTGTAAAAATTTTATTACTCTCTCTTGAGAATTCAAGTGAGGTTAGAAGGGAAGAAAACGCCCTGCTGAAAAATGTTCTTCCACTGGCACCTGTCCCTTTCCTTCTTCTATGGTTTAAGAATTCATTCTGAGGTGCAGCAGTGGTATAAGTTCATGCAGCCTCCAGGTAATGTCATTAAACGTACATTATACTACAAGGACTCTAAACACAAAGGACAATGATTTTTGAGGGAACAATTTGTAGTTAAAACAGAGGCCTTCCAGTTGGTATTCAGGAAAAATAGTAACGTTATTGCTAATAGCAGGCCTTAAGTTGCATGCTAACTGTGCAAGGCTCCAGTCTGAGATGTTTAAGTCTGTTACTAGAAGCTGGTGTGTGAACAGGAGCTTGGTGTCACAGGTCTTCTGTTATGATGTGGAGTTCAATGACAGAACTGCAGCAAAGGCCTTGAAAATACAGACATGGGTTGAAAACAAAGGTCCTGAAACACATACAGTTAGTTGAGGAGAAGGCATTGAAGATGCACAACCTTAAGAGCTAGGAAGACTGCTTTTGCTTTAAGAAAACAAGGTAGTAACTAAGAAAGGGGAAAAAAACAACCGGGCAAGCAATAGGACAAGGCACTTGCCATGACCCGGAAAATAATGCTTCTCCCAAGTATCACAGCATACAGTCCAGGGTGGAGGTCAAGGGGTGGGAGTTGTCCAGAACAAAAATACCTTATGAAAGGACAGGCTTCTTAATTTGAGGGAAGATTATGTCCACTACATTCCAGCTTTCCGTATCTAAGAGCTCTTTGAGACAGTGAATTTTGACTTCTGTGACTCAGACCATTAAGGACAGTGGCTATTGGTGCCCAGTATACAGTATCTTCACACTGGTATTCTATACCCACAGCTCATGTAGGACATGACCATTAAGTACTGACCACTTTAAATACATAACAATAACTTAGGAGACTCTAAAACAAACCATTAGCATGAAGTGTATTGTTACTGAAAACAGGTTTGGTGAAGTTTTGTTTTAAAGAGTAAAACTAGCCTGATTTAACAGTCTTCCTAATACTAATCACAGCAATTGTTAATACTTGCAAGACATAAGTCAAGCTGATACTGGTTAGGGTTCACAAGGAGATGGGCTTGTTCCATCTGCTAGAAGAGAGCGCACACTTGGTGGGTACTGGGAAGGTTTCCTTCAAAATAGGATGTTCCTCCAGTATAGGATGCATTTGTTTACCACTTTTCCTAGAAGTTTAGCCTGAGGAGCTGATTACTAAGAGTATACAACAGCAGGTAGTTTGAATGCAGTTATTAGGTCGTTCAATCATGGGGAACCGTACTCCTAGATGAACATCCTTGTTTGGTGGAGTCACTGATGAGAACTGTTGAACTAGTTATCACCCGCATGTGTTTTAGAGTAAGTGCAGATAGTGCCTTTCATACAGCTTTGGTATGCTTTAGGAAACCATGTGCATCCTTCTAGGACTTGCCTCCAACTACAGAGTAATTCCTCTTTAACCATATGTTTCATTAAAATTTCAAGATACAGGCTTCTCATAGCTAGGATGAGAAGACAGACATAGCAGACATTAATCATTACTGAATACAGTATCAGAACATGCTCAAATACTTCAATAACACTCACAAAATCAAAATACATGTACCTGCACCTAGGAGTTTATTATGCTGTTTGATTCCCAGAGCATACTGCAACTGAGTTGATGAGATCACTTACTATACATAAACAATTTTTAACACCTTACCAGCTGAGACAAGTTCTCCAAAACACAACTAAGTGTGAATATTTATGCAACAATGACACATTAATATTGCCATTACAAAATAACTGAAAACCACCTCTTTCCTCGCCTTTTTCCTGAAAACACTGCTTTGTAAGTAGCTTTAAGGGATCAGTGTTTAAAGAGCTAGAAAACTGCACAGAATTCAGGACTCCCTTATGCATTACACCATGCTGTGTCACCATCAGTATCAGTTCCTATGCCTTTCCAATCTGCAACAGGCAAGAAACCAAAATTGCACCTAATGTTCTAAGGCATCTAAGGTGTCCTGTTGGCCACTTTTAAACTGGTCTACACCTTAAAGTGAGGTTTAAAAGACACTTGACCAAAAAAGTAATTTGCTGAGAACTTAACAAGCTTCTAGAAGCCAGATAAAACTATGTACCTAACTTGATTATAGAGATCATTAACAAATGTATAAAGGGAATAAAACAGGACAAAGAGGTATTAGGAAAAAAATTGTCCTTCTGTATACTTTTAATTATTTTTCTGTTCAGAACTATGTATCCCCCTGACAGCTCAAAAATGAAAGCAAAAGAACAAGTTAATAAACCTTTAAGGTAAAAGACAAGTAATGGGCATTGTGAAGAAAAGTACAGTATGCACAAGACTAAAAGCTTCCTGCTCCAATTAAAAGCTGATTTCTAAATAAATTTTTACCCTTAAAGTTCTGGCTTAACCCTTCAGGGCTCAACAGCTGATTTTTGAAAAAACATCTTTGCTAGACCTTTAAGTGAAACAGACAAAACAGTGACAGAAGAAAGACTATCCTTCAGCATAATTTCTTTGACTTTCTGATGGTAAAGAAATTAACTCCTTTAAAAATAGACACCAGGCTGAATTTTACCTATCCTGAAAAAAGACAACACCCATTATGAGGAAAAGAGACTAAATCTCTGAACAGTTACCTTACTAGAAAAACCAAAAACAAAACACAAACACATTATTTCATATATTATGGAAAAATGGACTAAATTAGCTATAAACTTAGGACAATTCTTGAAGGAATTATCGGGGCCAGAGAAAATACTAGGATATGTAGTAACTCAGTGAAATATTTGAGAAACTGAATTGACTTAGAATTCACAGATCAGTCATGCTAAAGGCACAGAAAGAGAAACCTAACTAAGCTGAAGCCTGCTGTGTACATTGTAATGGAAGGTCTTCTGTCTTCCTGTCTGGGAAATCTCTGAGTGAGATACCACCTGCTGGTGGAATGATGAATATTCTTGTGCAATAAGCCAAAGGATCAATTTAAGAAGACATTAGCAATGTCTCATATACCATCAAGGGAGCTTTGAGTCACTGTTCACAGATTTAGCCAGCAGCGATTTACTTTTTCAATGTTACAAGCATTCAAGAAATGGAGGAAAATAGTATGAATGGAAAAGTAGGTGAGTGGGGAAAGAAAGATGTTTTTTTATTTTTCAGAAATTAAGTCTTAATAACCCAGTTATACACTGTATAATTCATTCACGTGATAAATTACCTCAGAGTAGAGCATGGAGTGCAAAATACAAGGTGTAAGTGAGGATTTACTCTTGCTCTCTCCCCAAAGAATAAGATGAAATAAACTCCACTTCAGAAACACATCACTGAATATACTGGGTTTTAACACTATTGCTTATAATACTGGAAAAAGGTAGCAGTGCTGCTAGCACCAAAGCTTTCAGAGAAAAAACCAAACTGATGACCTGGAAAAGCTTATCTTCATATTAAATGAAGAGTTCAAGCAATTTACGTGTTTACATAGTAAATTATTTTAAAATAATTAAAGTCTGTCTACATCCAACTAAAGCTAAGCATAACTGCTATAATGAACAGCATATTTTAAGGGGGTTACATAAGTCTTTCGAGCTTTATCTGATACTCATAGTTTAAGTTCTGAATCGATGCATGTTGTTACAAATTAAATGAACACAACTAATTCCCCAGCACAGTTACATCAATTTAATTATTTTTAATGCTAAAATGAAAGTTTCTGCCACAAGAAAAGCCTGAAGTGAAACGCCTGCATCTGTCTTCCTTGAACGTTTTTCTTACAGCAAATGCTATTTCTCTTACTAAAGAGGAAGAACACTTCCATGATTTCTACCAGTGGAAAAGAGCTTATCTGCTTGTGGCTGTAACATGACACTGTCAAACAGCTGTATTTTCAGAGAATACTGTCATCTGTACTATTCTGAAATATTTCAGTAAGCTAAGGGGACTAGCAAGATAGTTACTTTTTGGTAAACTCAATCTATGTATAAGTTTTTATTACCTGGAAGTAATGTAATCATACTCATTTATTCTTTTCCAAAGATGGAGGAAATCTCATGATAGCTGCACATCCACTTCTTTATAGATATCTCTTTGTCTTTAAATTATCTGTATGTCAAAAAACTGTCAAAGCAGTTTTGGGACTGTACTGTATTTTTCTACATTCTTAACAATGCAGGTTAGCATCGCTTTCAAATGTCCAAATGCAGAAACATCCTACAGTTTGAATTATAGCTAACCTGTTTAAACACTACCCTTTACCACACTTCACTCCCCTCATAAACAACACACTCATGAAAAAACAAAAACAAAACCCAAACAAAACCCGAAACAAAACCTCAAAAAAACAGTTTGGGTTGGAAGAGACCTTAAAGATCATCTAGTTTCAATCTCCCTGCCATGGGCACGGACACCTTCCATTAGACCAGGCTGCTCAAAACCCCATCCAATCTGGTCTAAATACCACCCAAAGTCCTACAAAAAAAAATAAAAAAAGCAAGCAAACAAACAAAAACCACAAACCAAACACAAAAAATCTACCCTCAAGAAAAAACAAATCTCTCAAAACAACCCCCCTCAAAAGCACTCACATAATTTAAAGTATTGGCCCTTCCCAATTCAGTATGCCATTCTAATAACCCATTGTTCTTCAAAATACCAAGAGAAAGATTTTCATACTCCGATAAAAACATAAATCCTGAATGCAGTAAGGTTCCATTGTATCCTAGGGTAGGTAAGAAACTTGTTCAGAAACACGTGACTTAAGTCAAAACTATTCTTGTTTTCAGCATCTCCAAGTTTTAAAGACCTGAACAAGCACAGAAATCTGGTTTTCATTAATTTTAACATGAAATATTTATGCAATGCACCGTGGATGAGCAAACCAGCAAAGAAAATGCTGCCCAGTAAAGATGTGAAATCAGGATTTAGAGCCATATACTGTGCTGGCTTGTTTACAGTCCCTCCTTAAGGACATGAGTGTATGGAGAAAAAAGACAGGTGTTTCCCACAGCTGATGAGTAATGAGTTCATGGAAATAAACAGGAAAGCAAGTCAATTGCTGACAGCTTTTTTTTTTTTTTTGTGAACTTTGAAACCAGATTTTAGAAGCAAGTATGTTAGCTAGATGAATAGTTTAGTAATAATGTATTTCATTCTTAAATATTTAGTCTCTTTACTCTTTTTCTCACATTTCTCTAGCCCATTTAGATTACTGAAGCACACTTTTCATCATGGTTTTTGGGCACTGCACAGCAATCCTGCAAATGACACAGCTAGCACTTATGTAGTTTCCCCTGTCTCTCTTGTTGGCTTGCCTAAAAGGAAACTCCATATTGATTTTAAATCATGATGTGCTGTGCATTTTCATAACTTTGCCTCAAGCATGAATGGCCAACTTCGAGAAAGTATTAAGCAAATTTCACTACTAACTGAAAAAAGGTTTACTGCAATAAAAAATTTCCCTCCATTTTTTCTTGTTTCACAGCCTCTTCTATGATAGAAACTGTAGCAATTTAAGTAGCAGTTGAGGGAGGACAGAAAAAGCACACATGCTCACCAGTCTAAACCAACAACTGTCTCAAGACAAATACTCACTTTAATTGTATCCACGAACTGTTATGTTGTCATTTAGTTATAAACAATAGTGCTCCAAAACGAAAGATATTTCTAGTTTATGATAACAGTTCAGGTCAAAGAGATTGGGGATTGACTCTGTATATGAAACATTTTGGACTCTACATAATTTTTTAGTGAAACACTTCAGTTTGGATTTCTTTCGATACTTTTTCTTTTTCCCCTTATAAGATGAAAGGTCCAGTGTATTAATTCAAGAATTCACACTGTGTAAAATATTAAATTAGTTCTCTACAGAACTTTCATAAGAGAGAAATAAGATGCTTTCAACCCCAATAATAATATAAGGAAAAAAAATAAGATTAAAAAAAAATACTTTCTTCGCTTTGTTTTATTTTCACAATCTCTTAGTCAATAGTTTCTTCAATTATAACCTAGACCAATTGGTTTCTTTTTAAAAAGATTACATAATATAAAGCATTGAAAACCAGCTTGCAGGTGGCACAGGTAATCCTACAGTAACAATCTGTATCAGGAAGATGTCTAGGAATCTAGTATCAGTGAAGATGCTGAAATCACGAGAGTTTCTTCATCATAAACAGTTCTGTTTGGTTTATGGTTATATCTAAAATAGGTTTACAATAATTTCTTAGATTATTGTAAGCAACACTAAGAGCATTTCCCCAATTTTCCATGTTCTTGAATCCATAACCTTAGTGGTACTCCAGGGAGAAACTGCCATCAGTTAAAAGTTAGACCAATTTTGTAATAAGTGCAAAGAATACATACCGAGAGAAATGTTTCAATGTTATCATGAACAAATGATGCGACATCTTGCCAGTCCAGAATATCTCCAAGCCAGCTGTTTTGACGGTTTATGTGCCACTTGTGTCCTTTGTGTCTTCCAGAATGTGTTACATTCTGAAAAAGAGAGACAAAGACATCACGACAACAGACATTCAAAAAATTTGAAGATATGATAAAGCCAAAGGGCGATGTTTTAGACTGATGCTTTCTTAATGAGGATCAGTTCCAACATGCATCTAAATGCCTAGTGCTGCTTTAACTGTCATCCCCAAAAATACCTGGAAATACTCTCTACACTGAAAAAACTAACATCTGTCAGAAAACTGTAGTTAATTATCCCCTATAATTACATTTCTGTATATTGTAGTCGTTTACCTCTGTTACAAATTAACTTTACTGCAAGATAGATACAATGGTATCCATCTTGCTTTTAATGAAAGCACACAAGAAAGTAGTATTGATTTCAGTTACTGCCTACATAATTTACTGTTCGCAACATAAAAGTTTTCCCAGTTAAACCCATAAAGGAAAACGCAAGCAGAAGCCAAAACAAGTAGTTTTTCTCACTGTTAGTGTCTGTTTCTCCACAGGCAATGTTCAGTCACACAAAACGTAAAAGCTAAACTGGATGCATGAAGGATTTCTTTTGACTATAAACCTTTGTAACTGCAACACAAGACAATAGGACACGGCCATAACCACAACAGCTAATTCCTTAAATGGTTCCACCCTAATTATAAAGTTGCCTATTGTCCAATGAATCACACCTGATGACCATCTAGAATAAGACTATTTGTCTCAGTCTGGGACTGTGGTAAGTGTTTCAGAAAGAGATGTCAAAATTCTTTGTAAGTGAGTTTAAGTAAACCCGCTGACACCAACAGATCTCATCCTAATCTTTAATAGTAAGAGACTTCTCAAGTTCTTAAATCTGATTTTCATAATAAGCATCCCACTACTTCTGTTGAAATTTTCCAAACCTTTAGCCTTACCAGCCTGCATTCAAAACGACAGTATCTTTTTTTGCCATACATAGCAAAGTAACATTCCAAGTGACATTTCTGCACTAATTTATCTAAGAGCATTACATTTTCCGCTTATTACCAATTCTTTCTAGATGCACAGTTACACTTTGTGATACATAATTAGCATAATGAGCTGGCAATTTATTTAGAGCATAAACATATGAGTAGTCAAAAATCTCCCTCCAATAGGGCTTTTGTATCTGGAAAGTGTATGAAGACCTATTATCTGTTCAACTAGTTCTACTTTTGAAGACAAGTCTTTCCATTAACTAGCAGATTTAGATACCATTTTCAAACATATTTCAAATTCTGTGTTATTCAGCAGCTATATTGTTGCACCACCTAAGGCCTCATGTGTTGATAAATAAAGTATCTGAAGACATTCCTCCTCAACAAAATGCACTACATCTCAAGAATAACAAAAAAACTCCACACCTGAATGGACTAGGAAGAGGAGATGCTTTTCCTTGATTGAAGAGTTATGCCTTAATCATCCAAATGGTTTATTATTCTGATACTTCATTGGGTACACAGATGTGGCAGTTACTGATCTTTCACATCTGTAGAACCTTTTAAAATATACACCACTTGCCACCTATTGATCTTCTTAGGAATCACAGAATCATAGAATCAACTGGGTTGGAAAAGACCTCCAAGATCATCAAGTCCAACCCAGATCCAACAATGCCGTGATTACTAGACCATGGTACTCAGTGCCACATCCAGTCTCATCTTGAAAACCTCCAGGGACGGAGAATCCACCACCTCCCTGGGCACCCCATTCCAATGTCTGAACAATCTCTGTAAAAAATTTCTTCCTAATATCCAACCTAAACCTCCCCTGGCTTTAAACCATGCTCTCTTGTCCTATTGCTGGTTGCCTCCTTTCAAGTAGTTGTAGAGAGTGATGAGGTCTCCCCTGAGCCTCCTCCAGACTAAACAACCCCAGCTCCCTCAGCCTCTCCTCACAGGACTTGTGCTCAAGTCCCTTCACCAGCCTCGTTGCTCTTCTCTGGACCCGCTCCAGCACCTCAATATCCTTCCTGAACTGAGGGGCCCAGAACTGGACACAGCACTCCAGGTGTGGCCTCACCAGCCCTGAGTACAGGGGAAAAATCACTGCCCTGCTCCTGCTGGTCACACTGTTCCGGATAAAGGCCAGGATTCCATTGGCCTTCTTGGCCACCTGGGCACACTGCTGGCTCATGTTCAGCTTCCTGTCAATCCAAACTCCCAGGTCCCTTTCTGCCTGGCTGCTCTCCAGCCACTCTGTGCCCAGCCTGTAGCGCTGCAGGGGGTTGTGAAAAGCACTGGTGTGAAATGTTTTACATGGATCTGGGCTATGAGAGAAGGGGCAAGATTTAGGAGCAGACTCTAGAGCAGTTGCCTCTGGCCCACAGATAATTGGTTGCCTCTTGGTACATCAATGGTAACATAGGGTGTCTAGTTTGTAAATGGTGGCCAGAGGAAGAACAGACTTCAAGATTAAAGGCAGTGAGCATCAGCGAATTCCTAAAGCTCTTTCTACCATTTTGATTGGTAGGAAAGTTGTTTCTTACCCTACCAGAAGAGAATCTACAAGACAGAAGCCTCACAGTATTCCCTCAAGTAACAGCTGCAGGAAAGAAATCCCACCACACAACAAACACAGGCACACCCTGTGCTGTACTGCAGCAACAGAAGTGCTCCTACAGCACAGGTAGTGACACAGAGCCCTACCAAACAGTGCAATGCTACAGACCACCTGACATACTGGTTGGATTAGTAAAAGCAACAGGTTTATCAGTGTAACTGAGAGCTGCATCAAAAGATGGTGCTTTTCTTGGTCAATCATTAAACACTGAATACTCTCAAGTGCTTAAGGTCAGAAAAATCTACTGCAGATATAGTTTCACTTTTTACTCGGTGGTCCCACGTTCCTCAACAATGTTATGTTATCCCTCAACAGGCCCTTCTACAGCATTATCTTCTCAGAAACTGATTCTTTACAACATATTTTTGACTACTATACTGAAACTGTTACTTCTTTTAATACAGAAATCTTCTCGGAACTTTAGAGGTACTTGAAAAATGATTGTATAAAGTGCTAACATATTATAATTGCAATTATTTAAATATACAGAAGTAGTTCAGGATTTTAATATTTCCATTGCACCATGGCTAATGAATTCCTTTTTCCTTTAAAAGGTAAACAGCATTGCCAGCATAAAAATGGTTTAACTCTTAGGAACTTTTCAAGATCCAGTGTACAGAACCCACTAAAAGATGGCTACAAAAATGCATTGTAAGAAACTTAATGAAGGGCCAATTTCTTTCTCCCAATTTCAAGTTAATGAAAGTTAAACAAATCACGCAGAATACCAGTTTTCTTTTTCTAACAGCTCAACAACACCAAAATTCAACAGAAACCTCCAAACTATGAGATTACCAAACACAAAGTGAGAGAAGCCTAAATTAAATGGCATATATAAAAACACACTTTACTACTTAAGTGAAGGACATACCTGTGGCTGTATTCAAACTGTGATTGTAGAATGATCTATCTTACTCGAAATTTTTCCCAGCTTTTTATTATGACCTTTACTCAGCATCCAAAGTTCTGCTGATCTCTTTCTCAGAAATGCATACTTAGCATAATTATCTCAGAGTACTAAGTGATAGCTTTTAGGAATACCATTTAAATAATTTACCTACCTTCACAAACCAAGAGTGATAAAGCCTGTCCCACAGCTCTAGCACTTGTTTTTCAATCACAGCGGTGTTATTCACTTTTTCTCCTAAAATCTTATGGAGCTAAAACATACAAAAACCTTTTATTATACAGGACAGGGCATCTACTGATGAACTCTAAGCTCTATGAATTACATAAGAGCGTTGGCAAAGGCATAGATCAAACTCAAATTATTAGAAAATATGAGTATCATTATGAAATACACACTTTGGACAACACGGTTCACAATATGAAGACTTTGTCTGCTAGAAAACATTCTGCTACACCAAGCTGAGGACTTCTTTCTGCACTGAAAAACCAATGTTGTGTCTAAAATGCTTAAATAAAAATTCTTGTTCATATCTTTGGAGTAAATATTTCAAACAATTTGAGATGTGTGCTTGATATCAAAACAAAAATATAATCGTGACAAATTCCCCTGAAGAAAGTTAGCTTAACTAAGTGGACGATGATTAAAAAAAAATCCAATCCACCACACCCCGCCCACACAGAAATTAGAACACAGGGGGAGGAGTGGTGGTGGTAATAAAAAAAGCCTACATTGTCTATGAGAGGACAGCTAATGCTAGGTAAAAAAATATTACTCAGTTTTATCTGATGCATTTTCACTGGGAATCATTAAAATGATGACAGATTCTTCAGCTATTAAAAACAAATAATCCTCTGAGCAGAAAAGACTACTGAAATTACTCCCACTCTTCCTTCAAGACAAAAACCAGAAAAATCTGTCAACCAGACAGTTAATCACAGAAAAGAACTACTGATGAATACATTTTTATTTCTTTCCACTCTCATGAAATGTAAGAAATTTAAAAAAAAAATAAACATTAAAGGGCGTTTTAAGAGCTCACTCTTACCTTATGCGTAATCCATTCTCGGCCATACTGGTACACATTATTTGCTGCGGAATTGAGTGCCTTCTGAATTACCTGGGCTTCTGGGAGCCAGCTGGGGTTTTTTCAAAGAAGAAAAACAAAGTTAATGCTATGTATTTTACTGATTTCATTACATCCAAAACACATCGCAAATCAACATTTTGAAACAACAACAAATCATTATGGTTAAATACATATAAACTTACTGCAACTAGAATATTTCCTTCTACGTATCAAGGAACAGATTTTCTCATAAGCAAAGCACAATTAAATCTAAGGCAAGTCCTTGCATTTGAAATTCTCCAAGGTTCCTGAAACCTTAATTAAATTGGTATCTCAAATTTTTCAAGAGAGATCTGCTCTTCCATCTGTATGTCTGCTATTCACACTATATTCTTAGCAATTTTCCTGGTGTTCTAATTGTCTGAAAATACTATATGAAGCAGTCTCATCTAGCTGTAAAGACAACCTTCTCAATTACAAGCGGACTGTAAATTGTTAACATAGTTTCCCTGAAAAAGCAACAAGGTTTGTACATCAGTTATTCCTGAGTCCTCACGGCACTACCCACTTGTGAATTTCTTCAGGGATTCACATCACTTTCAATGACCAAGCAATAGACCCTACTGAGTTGCCAGCATCCCAACACTTGTGAATACAAGACATGCAATATCTGCTTTGACTTTCTTTTTATATCCTGATTCAATGGCACTTGTTGGAGTCCTTCCAAAACAAAAAAAAACCCCACCGTTCAGGACATTTGTTCACATGACCCAAGATCAACATGGAAGCTCTTCTGTCTGTATAATCCTTCGCAAATGTTCTGCATTGGAATTCCAAGATATGTCAGTTGCTCAGCTCTGAATGTAATGTGAGCATCAAGCTCTGAAAGCTGGTGAAGCTTAATGGATTTGGCAAGAGGTATATTTACCCTTAATGAATTAAAATATAGTGGTTTGGATGCAAACACCAGAATAAAAATTTAGGCTGAAATTCTGGTAATTACTCAACTAATACTCTAGTATTTTCATTATGTGAATTAAGCTTTTGACAGTCAAATTTCCATTTTCATTAGTACCACTTACTTTCATCTTATGGCAAAATGGAAAGGCCAGACAAAGAAATGACCAGAAGGAATAAAACAGATTTTAAGCACTTTTCAATCTCTTGACTGTGATTACTTAAGTAGTGCTAAAACACATATTACTACAGTGGTTATTAACTATATCCTTTTAGTTTTGTTTTTGAAAAATCATTTTGCTCTTATAACACAGTATGTGCTTTCTTTACATACAGTTAAACCACCATCATTTTTGTTTAGAATGTGCCCTTGAGAAAGTCAACCGTTCTTGTTTGGGAGACTTTTTTTTTTCTCCTAGTATTAAATTGGTATCTCACCTTTACCCAGTGTCTGTTTAGCTGCAGCAGAATGAAAGCCATTTGCAACGTGGCCCCCCTTAAAATCATACTCCTCAATATCACCTATTCCCCCTCTGGTGTTCATGCAATCACTTCTTCGCTCACCAGTATGCTCTTGGTTTTCTCTAGATGCATTTCTCTCAAAATCTTCTCCCTCCCTTAATATTTGCCTTGGTGTTCACTGTAATCATTACACAGACTAAACCTTACAAACTTCCCACTGCATACACTATACACATCTACTCTTAACAGGAACAGCCCTTCCCAACTGAGTCATACCAAACTCTCCCTATCCACCATTCGTTCCACCCTTGAACTCTTCAATTCACTCCAAAAACATGGTCTTCAACTCCTATTCCCTCAATGGCATTCTGCAGCCAGCTCTCCACATTGAAAAAATAGTTCAGCTCTCATCTTGCACCCTTCCAGAGAGAGCATTCTTTGCCAGTACTTTTCTTCCACAGGTGAAAGGGAAAAAAATTTGACCTCTTTATTCTCTGTACCACATAAGTTTCCTCTCCACAGCTATAGTTAGAGAAGTTCATATAGCTGTCCTCCACCAAAATCCTCAAATGAGATACCACATGGAAAGTCCTCAAGAGTAATGCATAAACATTCCTGTTGCCTCAGAGTTTAGTTTTTACATCTGCCTGCAAGAGTCACCTCCATTTCTGTTCCCCTAGGGGATTTTTTAAATTAAAAACTATGCATAAGAGCACCTGGAAGTTTGTTCACCCACCCTATACTATTCGCTTAACTTCAGCATTCTTACTTTGCCCATTCTGGGTGACTGGCTACTGTCTCATTGATCAAGCTGCTTGTGACTTGAATCATGTGAACACTCTCTTGATGTACCTAAATTAAATATAGAGAGAAGAAATGTTATGTAATGCAAACTAGAACTCTTCCTACATTCAGCAAGACCTCTTTCATTCCCCCTTTATTTTCTTTTTTTTTTTTTTTTTGGATGGGGAAGAGGATGGCAGGTGAGGGGGTAGTGACCAGTTTGTACATTTAAAGAATAATTTTTCCAATGCAAACAACCCACTAAGGAGAATGATGTGCCATTAACCCCAATAAACAATACAATAATCATTATGTTCTGTCAATTTTTGTCACTAGTAACAGCAAATAGAAATTTAAACCTTATCACATCAGCGGAAAAAAAAAATCTAACAATACAGCAGTGCTGTCAAGGGAAGTACTAAAATACAAAGCCCAGTTTTAGATAGGCCTTTTTAAGCCATGGATCAAAGAAGTGTAAAAATTAATGAATGCTTAGCTCTAACATAACCAGCCATGCTATGAAGTGCCTCACCAAATAAATTCTTCAATAAGAATGATAAAAGGACACCTTTTATAAACATCCTAATGGTCCTTTTATGAATATAAGGAAGCTTTAGGCAGGAATGTTTGCACAATTTTTAAAGTTTTCTATTGTAAGAACTCAACATTATATAAGCCTACATTTTGGAAAAAGAATATTGACATCAGAACCCATTGATTTTTGTTCTGTAACTGTATTCAGGTCAAACATTCAACCTCCATTGACTGTTTCAAGTATAAACACAGCTCCGTTAAGGAAAAATAAAGGAAGAAAAAGTACATGAGTGACCTCTTCTGGTAAGCAAAAAAAAAACCCAACCACAAATGAAAAATCAGTCTCAGAGAACATCTGATCATGAATCTCAGCACATTTAACTCAAAACAGGATACCATGAGGTTATTACAGGCAATCACATAAACACATTGACAAATACATATTATACATTTTGCAAATGTTTCTGATGCAAGGAAAATGAAAAAGTTCTGCTGTTGACAAGGAGAGTGTAACGGATGCAAAACAAATCCATTCCTGTAATATATGAGTTAGTAATTCTTTTACCAGAATAAATTTTGTATTTCCAAATGTCTATATATTAGGCTTGTCATATAGGTAAATAAACACAGAAATTCAAAGAAATATAAATACTGAGACTCTGGTGTATTTCTGTATGTTTTACAGTCTTGGAATGGTGACAAATTCAACTACAGAGCAATCAGTTACTAAATATTTAGATAAATTCTTTAAACTATACAATTTAGTATAGATATCAGCAACCTTCATTAGCATTGAAAATGAGTTCTGTAATTACATTTGTTAGCACATTGTACCTTCGCAGTGAGGAGGAGGGCTAGCAGGAGGGTTCCTATCACTAGCACAAATATTATAAAAATGCTGATTATTTTATCTAGCATTTTCTCCAACCACACGATCATCTGTGCAGAAAAGAAAATAAACAAATTATGGCATATAACTCAATACTTAATGAAAGCAATGCTATATGACTATAAAACAGTATTGTTATCTTTATTTACAATCACAGTAAAAAATCAGGCTCTAATCTAACAGCATTTATGCCCAAGCTTGGAGATGAACAATTAACAAGCAATGTTAGCATGATTAAGGTCATGGTATGGCATGTGATTTTGCAAAAAAACATTTACACGTTACCACATGACACGGCAAGCTCTCTGCAAAGCAAGCAATAATTCAACAGTTACTTACTAGACCTAAGGGAGCTAGCATTCATGTCAGCTAGCAACCAGAAATTTATCTTTGTTTCTTGTCATTCATTAACTTGGAAACTTACAGATACTGTCTGCACAGGACTTCAAAGTTACCAAGGCATACTGTAACCTACAACCATAACTTTCAGATTTGAATAGCTAAGAGCCATTTAAATGACAAATGAGGTATTTTTGCAAGTAATAAAATTTTTGGACCTGCTCACCCCTTGTGAACTGAAATGGGATAGGGGGCATTCTACATTATTGAATATCAGGTCAGTTATTCAGCACCAACTATTTTTATCCACTTCCAATCTCAAAAGGATGCTCAGCATTAAGCCTGCATTAGTTAAACCTACTGATACAGGAAACAGCTGTGTATCTTGTTCTGTTAGTTTCTGAAAAGGCCCATTCTATACATGCCCACAAACAAATAGTGATACCACTTAAGATCAGAGAAATTCTGACCATTTCATTCAAAACAATAAAACTGCTCAGTTACACAACTTTGCAGAGTGCTCTATATAGTGGAAGCTGAGCTTCATTTTGTACATAAATTGGCTGTTTACTGAAAAGGTGTGAAAGCCCATGCAAGTCTGACCAAATACATTTTTCTAGCTTTCACATACCAATGCTACTCCATCTGGCATTATTACAAGAAAAAGCAGCAGCAGCAGAACTGTAAAATTTGTGCTTTAAGAGAACTGAGGTCCAAGTTATTGTGTAGTAGGTGAAAGTACTTTTGAGTACAAGTTATATATTCAACAATTAAGTTGGTAACTTTTTAGTTAGAAATCTGAAAAAACTACTAATATGCATGCTGATGGTTTACATCAATTCTTTCTTCATTGTTTGCCCTATCCCTACATGTGAAATTTGCCGTGGAACAACTAACTTCTACAGACTGCTGTGTGATGATTGAATTGGTTAATACTGAAGTCAAATCTCCTATTTGAAAAAAGGATTTTTAAGGTGTTTTTTTTTGATGTTCATCCTGTAGCAGCTGAGCAGTTAATGTACATCAAGCAATTATTTTTAAACTTCAATTTTTTACAACCAGCTCCTTGTTTGACCTAAATTAACACAAGGATTATATTCAGCATTTTAAAACTGTTATTCAAGATGATGATAAAAACTAAAAGAATACAAAATAGTTTTAAATGTAACAAGGTGTTGAGCCAGCAAGTTTTTTTAACAAAATCTGGACTATATTAAGAAATGATTCAGAGAGCATGAGGAAATGTGCAAAATATTTTGTCTTAGATATTTTTAACACTTTTCAGCATTGCTGACATATTTCAGCCATCAGAAATGTCTTGCCTGTGCTACCGCAGCTCTCTGAAAAACTTCGAGTAACCTCCACATGGGGCTGTTACCTCCTTGGAAACAAGACTGAAACAGGATTTGCTGTGCCCTTCCATGTCTCATACACATCTATGATTGTGCAAGATTATGCAAGGGAAGCAAGAAATAAAAGTCCCTGCTTTAAAGGAGAGAAATCAAAAGTATCACTGAAAAAACATTAGATGGTCAGGGGATGGAAATTTTGTAACACGGGCTTCCAAATGAAGCTGTTAAAAATTAAAGCTGGCAAAGTTCAGAAACTTTAGACAAAGTTCAAAATAATTGCTATTTACTTTCTAAGTTAGGGATAAAAGAAATCCAGTAGTCTTACACATAGCACCTTAATCAGATTCACTGAATCCATGTAATTAGAAGTATTTCCAAAGAGCCTTCAAAAAATGCTAACCTCAGTGATTGTGAGGGGTAACCTCAACAGAGCTGAGATCAGGATGAGGACTCTCTCCGAGATAGCACATGACAAACAAGGTATCTTTTCTTGACACTCTGTCTCGTGGGTTCAAATATGCCTAGACTTCCATTAAGGTGCAGCTGCAGAACATGTAAAGCCTGAACTACCTTTAATTTAGTTAGTAAAACTATGGCAGCACTGATGATGCACAGGTAGCAGCCTCAGTCATGCAAGCCCACCTTGTCTTTACTTACTTGGACAAGCAAGACAGATGAAAGCCAGCTTTGCTAAGGTACTGCAATAACATCTCTCAAAATAGTCTTAAGGAGATCCAAGTTTTATAACTGGTACAGAGACATCACTGGAGAAGACTGAATTGGACTGAGTATTGCAGAAGTAAAAGCAAACACACAACATTCGCTTAGGGCTCTATTTACTCCTCTCTCTCTCTTTTTTTTTGTTTGTTTGTTTGCTATTGAAACTCCCTTCCTCTACATTGACCCACAGTGCTTCCTTAGCAAGCACTCACTGTTACACACTCATGCTAAATAATGCATAGGTGCTATGTTACTGCAGGTAGGTTGCTCTGTTAAATCCCTTCATGCTTGTACTTACCACTATATCAGGTCTAGACTTCTCTCTTACCCCAACCCTGCCAGATTTCCCTTTATATCCTTCCTGTAAACCATGGGCATGCACACAAAGACAAACATGTACTGACTAAACACTAGCCATTAGCCAGAGATTATTAAGTTTTTTATTCAGTTTCAAGCTTCTAATCTAAAGGTTAGTCAACAGCAGGAAGCTGATGCTGCCACAACATCCAAAATTATGCAAAGATAAAGGAAAGCCAGGCTCCTAAGCTACAGAAGGTCACACTTGTAAAACCAAACTGAAATGTTACTGATTTTTGATAGACTGTCCACAAAGAAACTATCCTAAAACTATTGTCACAGTTTTGAAGGAAAAGGTTATCAATTTCTTTTTTTTTTTTTTTTTTTAAATTTAGCTCACTGGAAAAAAAGTTTAAGATGAGTTTCATTCTATTAGAAAGTTTCTAAATAATTTGCAAGTTCTCCCTCTTTCAACTTCTGGGTGATGATACAAAGCATATTACACTAAGCTGTAATAGAACTACAGTCCATGCTTATCAGAAATCCTACTATCTAGATGGGTTCTCCATGTTATGCAGTATGACACATCATCTATAAATTAATATTTTCATGTTTCGCACTGCACAGTCATTAGAGCAATAGTTTTTCTAGTATGTTTGATTTACTGCATTACTCACATAGTGAAGACCTACTTAATTTTCAATTAAATCTACATAAAAATACCAACAGGGATTTTTTTTTTTTTCTGTAAAGAGCTCCACTATTTACAAGGACTGTTTTTCCAGGACGTTTCTTAGACTTGTTATTTCTCCTTAATTCAGTTAATATTTGAGGATATCATCCCACTAATATCATCTGATGAGAATAAGGAGAAGCCTGTAAGCAGAACACATCCAAGGGTTATGCTGAAATGAGTTTGTTGAGCAGTTAAGCTAGAAAAGGTAGAGAACAGTCTACAGGGGGTCTCAAGTCTATTTACACCAGTGTCCCTCCAACAACAATGGCAGAATTTAGTAATTCCTTCTAAAGAGTTCTGACATAGACAATGTTATAAAGAACAAATTATGCTAGCCCAACTGAATCTATTCTATATTTTGGGTTACATATGCCATGAACACGAATTACAAAGCCAAGGTTTGTCACTAGCAGTCCAATCCACCATCATTTCAAACTCTACCACAATCAGGTGATTATTTTTAATTTTTCATTTCCTGCTGGAATATCAGAAATTTATCTAGGTGTTCTCTGAAGCACTTCCCTTCAAAGATAGGTAAAAAGTAGAAAGGTGCAAAAGAAATCAACCTTGTAACTGTATCCAGTGTTCTGCATTACAAATCCGCTCTTTTCTTTGCCTCTGGTAGTATATGATTTTTTTTTAATTATTTAAAAAGAAGCAAACAAACAAACAAAACAAAAACCCACCCACAACAAAACAAACCCACAAGATCCTGACACTGCATATTTTTTCATCTTGACTATAGTATTATTACTATATGCTCATGCACAGGAGTTAACACTGCATCTAACACCATAGGACTTTCAGGATTTCTACCTCTGAAACTTTAAAGTAAACCAATAGTTTTCAAAAATAACTCCTAGGAACTAACAAATCCCACTCTGTTAAGAAACAATATCCACAGGGTTTTGCCAAATAATGCAAATCTTTAAACTAAAATTAAAATCCAGACATTTTAGAGTTTAAAGCAATTACACTGCAACCTATCAATATTTTCAAACAAGCAAATGACAAATTCAGAGCCAGAAAAAAAAGTAGTTTAGACAAAACTTTCATATGTGGCTCAGTGAACTCAGCTTCTCACCTGAACTGTGCTAACAAACCAATATATAACAAGAAAAAAAATTATGAAGGGTTATGGTTGTACATATTTACTAACCACAGGGCACTAAGTAAGACAAACACTTCAAAATTGGGAAATAAAAATGTAATTTTAAACCAGGAAAACTATAGTAAATGGCAAAAGAACACTCAAAAATTCCCCTCTTGGGAATTATACAATAATAAAATATTTGTCCAATATAACTGGACAAATATAACTAAACTTGAAGCAAGCAACTGTACCCTCTTGATCAGAAACATAGAAAGTCCTCCCCCCCCAACATACAACCCTGGATTCACTCATCAAATACTGAAGATCAAATTTCCTAAATTCATTAGAGCTGCTTAGCCTAGATACTACATGCAGCATTATTCCTCATCTGCCTCCCCCTGTAGATACCAGCTATGCAGTCCCATTTCATTGTTTACAAGGACCTTTTATGTATATTTTATCACATACTAGATTTTGACTTATAAAACTCTGAGGTCCTGCAGCCATGCACACACTGTAGGCATCTCTCCCCAGATCTGTGCTTGTCTCAAGCAATACCACTGCCCAGGTCCCAGAGAGATATTAATGCATCAAGGACTTGCCTAGATTTCAGTCACACATGAAGCCAAATCAGTTTTAACTTCTCTTGGAATGGCAGTTCCCCAAAGAACAACAGTTAAACCTAGCTGGCTAAGATGAACCATGGGAACTGGGAATGACAATTCTTATAAAACATGTCACACATATTTGAAAGTCATACAAAAGGAAAAAAATATTTTAGCTGTACCAACTACTTTAATTTTTTTTTCTTTTATTCTTTTATTTTATTTTTACTAGCCCTCACTTCCCTTCAGACTGTTGTTAAATACAGCAGTTCTAAGGTCACACAAAGTCTCGTTTCACTCCTGGTACACTCCATATCAGTATGTATGTATTCACTCCTGGTGCACTATGTGCTATGCCCATGTACACAGGCAAGTTTGACACTTCAAAAGTAAAAGATTTACAGCACTGATTGAAACCAGTCAATGCACTATTTGCAAGAGCTTACACTCATAACTTTACAACTGCCCTTCACAACCTCACCACTCCCATGTTAATTCAGTTCACTGATGCTTTCCCTGAGCAGAGAACACCTCTCCAGAGCAGGAGAGAACTGGTTTTGTTCTGCGTACAAGTGGAGACTAGGTGGAGATCAACTGTTCTTAAATGGAAGTGCCACTAAATCAAACTGCTGCTTGAAATGCTAATGCAATATTCTGCTGTACAAAACATTTAACTATGTGCATTCAGTGGAGTAGAAGACAAGAGATCAGGTAGAATTATATGACCTTCAGTAGCTTATATCAAGAGCTGGAAAAGAGGCATTCAAGAGAGAGATCTACAAAGCAAGGCATGTTAAGGAGTGTTCATGCTGCAAAATAAAAATAATAGTAAAAAAAAAAATCAAACTCCCCAAAACCACAGAATCCATTAGTTGGAATCACAATTTTTCTCTTTATTTACCTTCTTATTAAGCCAGTGCCACAGCTTGTCAGTGGCAGGGGGAGATGGAAGAAAAGGGAAAAAAAGACAACACAGTGGAAAATTACTGAAAAATGCAGTAATAGGGAAAAAAAGCAATGACAGGCAGGCAAAGTCATCCACAGAATGAAAATGAAATTGTCTTAGACACAAAGGTAAATTGTAATAGGAAGAAAAGATCATAACTTCTAATGCAAGAATGTAGGTATTACTATTAACATGCAGTTTTTCAAACAAGGAGGGATATAACAAATAGGAGCAACTTTAATGATATTAACACAGCTATCAGAATAATCTGGGCAATTCCAGTTCAATTATACTGAGAACTACCATTTCAGATTTCAGAGCAGGACTTGTAAAAGGACTTTGAGAAGGGCACTTTAACAAAACACCAAAACTTAACATGAGATACTTGTTTATTGCCTTAATACTCTCATTCAGGCAGTTTCCTATATATTTCAAAACACTCCTATTACGTCAATTACTGTTAAATAAATTTTATAAGTTTTTTGGTACCACATTTATATTAAAACATTCACATTCAATGGCACAACATCAAATACATAATTAATTCTGATATACATACAACAGCAACTGTAGATCAAATAAATGTATGGATTTCATTTAATCCTCCTTGCATTTCTCAACAGTCAACAGTTAATTTCTTCTTTTGCACTACAGTTATTTTTCCTTACTGATACTCATCCATATGCTCAAGTACACTCATTTTAGGACCTAGTTTATGTAGTACTATACTCTTAATTCTAGCCATTAGTAACCAATTAGCAGCATAATAACAACAGTGAAAAGCTTTAACGCTGTTATTCATCTATGCTAGAGGTTAAGATCAAGTATGTGATGTTTACTTCTTCCTAAAAGCAAGACCATTGAATGCTCAGTAAATGTAATGTGTTCACCAGTAGACACTAATTATATTAGCTCCCAATGGAAACAAAAGGTAAGAATATTTCAAATTTTAAAAAATCTCATAATGTTCATTTAGTTAGAACAGAGGCAAGAAACAGATTTACAAAAAAACATGAACATCAGGAAACAAAAATAAAATATGCCATAAAGCATCCATTTTGGTAGCTTTTATTATTCATGGAAATAATCACAGCAATAGAAAGCAATGACAAACCTTCAAAAACCTCAAACTGACACTGTTGAATTTGTTTCTATTTTATTTCTTCACTTGTGGAATAATTTATCAGTGAAAACAGGTAGCATTTCTCCACTATGCAACTCCATACAAATACATCAAAAGCTAGAGCTCTATTATCAGCCCAAGATTTTAGCAGAATGTAAAGGAAGCCTTTGGGATTTTTCTGTAATTTCAGCCTCCTGGAATTGGATGATACATACAATGACTAGGAAACACCACCATATGTTATAGTCAAATAACTAGGAAATAATGCTATATGCTATAGTCAAAAATAACTATATTTTTAATAATATTTTAGATAATACCTGAGAGGCCCTACCTGCCCACTAGCTTACCAATACTGATGTTTAAGTAGTTCTACAGATGTAATCAATCTACATTTGAAAATAGGCTACATCTTAATTCTAATCTTCAAGTCATCCAAAAGTATTAAGACCATAGCCACTTTTCCAGTATTTTATTGGAAAACTATTTATCTACAATCTTATATGCCTATGAAAGTATTTCCTATTGTAATATATGCATTGGTAAAGATTCTGCACATTTTCTGTGGTTGGCTTTAACTACATAGTAAACTTGGTACCAGAAGAAATAAACGTTGACTTTACCCGAAGCCCAAACAACCTAAACAATACATATATAAAATTTTAGTGAGCTACACCCAGAAAAAGCACATAACTACATGATTCACTCAAGTCCACCAGAAAGCACATCACAACTAGTGGAAGTCTAATGCATGCAGATGAGCTACTGCCTCTGCTGCTGAGCTCCCTCACAAACTCTATAATCAAACTACAGTCATTATATTGAAAGACAAGAGTATTATTAAAAATAAAAAACTATAAGTAAACCAAATTGAACATGCATGATATCATGTCTATAAAGTTTTAAGATGACTTAGTGGATGACAACAGAAAACTCCCTACTCTTTCCTCCAAGAAGTCTCTCACAGTTGATCCACTGCATCTGTTGACTTCATTGGGGAAATGCGTAACCAGGAACTAAAGAATACAGTAAGGAGATCCTATTTTCAAAGGATTAAAGGAGGTGTGCACATACAGGCATAGACTGACCTACTGTTTATAAGGAAAAGTAAAAGCAATGCCCTACTTCCTTTTCTCTTGACCAGAATTTCTCTTTATTTCAAATTTGTCTGCATTTCCAAGATAACCAGAGGTAGATGAGCAGTTGGAAAGAAGAGAAGCAGTTCTTTTCCTGCTGCTTTTATTTAAAAAAACAGACGTAATTAGTAAAGCTCAGATTTGTATGCACAAGCAGTACTCTCCCATTATTCACAATGGGTTATTTTCCAGACTATCTACACTAACCTCCTGAACTTTGTTTGGGATAAAAAGACATGTCACTCTGTCTTCCTCATCCTCACTGTGTTTTACTCAAATCTGGAACTATTTCCTAATTGGGCATACTAAGTTTGCCAGACCAGGTAGTACCACTAAATATTTGTGTGAAACAGACCTTGTCAATGGCTTGTTGTACTTTGGTAAGGGCCTAAATATGTTCTGATGCTGAGATTCAGTTTCCAATTAAATTAGTATACAAATAAAAACCCCAACCAAACAAAAACCCTAAGCAGCTTTACCTCCCACGAAAACAAAGTACAAATAAAATACTAGAAAGTTAAATAACTAATTGCAAAGGAAATTAAGGTAAGCTGTAGCAATTTACTACTCAAGTTTCTATTTTGTTTGCATATTTTTTTATTTCCTCTTCAACAGCCCTTATTGAAGTCAAAACATTTGATAATCCAAATTAAATACAGTTCATCCATCCTTTCAAAAAAAATCTTGCAAGGATGTCATTTTCAATTCTCTTCTTTCCCTGTCCCCACAAAAAACATAACTGGCAATATTCTACGGCATTGCTTCCCAAATTCTCAGAGATATGATGCATCCATGTTCCAACAATATACAGAATAAGCATAGCCAGTAGAACTTAAAAGATATAGAAGCGTTAGTGTGATAAGCATTGGAAGAACACGTCATTCCAGCCACCCATGATAAAAGCCAGTTGAAACGAATTAGAATAGGCACAAATGATGACAACACAATCATGCAGAGTATCAATTGTATTTCTTGTAACAACTAGGAGAGCTTAAATTGGTTTAATATATACAGCAAAGACTCAGAAGGAAAATATGACTATCATTTAAAAAATGGGAGGAAGAAGGGAGATGGAGAAATGACTTATGCCAACACTGTTCTTTTGCTTAGACAAGAACAACATGAATATAAACTGACCTTTAATAAATTTAAGCTGAAGAGCAGGGAGTTCTGCTGCACACTAAAGCCCTACCTTCTTTAAGGAGAAAAGACTTAGTGGAATTAGGAAGGATACTGTATCATACAGTTATGCAATACAAGGGTACTAAACTTGACAACTTATGAAATACAATACATTCAATATTGTGTCTAGAGAGTCTTCTTACTTACAAAACAAAACCTTTTAATGAAAAGCTTTGTATACTGTAAGCTTTTATCCCAACATGTTAATACTTTCCACTACCTTTGGAAAACTGCTTTATTGCATTCATAGATGCATTTTTAAAGGTTTTTCCTTTTTCCAACTCCTAATGAAGCCTGTGAATTTTTTTTTCCTAGAGCCCTTTTAATGCTTCTGTTGACCTCTTGACATCCATTTACCAATCAGATCCAGGCTTAAGCTCTTCTCTGTGCTGTAGGAATTCAGAGCTATAAACTGCAGACCAATCTGCCAAGGTATAGATGCTCTGACAAATGTACTTACAGGGTTCAGTTCTTCAGTTACAGAAACTCTGAGATAATGGCTTTTTCTAAAGCAGAGAACATTTCAACAACACAGTTACAGAAAGCACATTCTTATACACTGGCAGAGCTATTACAAAAAAAAATCCATCAGTTTATGTGAAAACTTAAATTCTAAGTGACGGACACTTTATAAATTTCACGGAGCTTTCCAACTCTGCAATTTGCTATGCAAATGTGAGCATGTTTTGAGCGGGGGAGAATGGAGGGTAACACAGACGACTTATTGTATGGCACTTCCCAAATATTTTACCCCACATACTTCTTCTCTTACAGAGGGAAGACTCACTTCTGTGTGACCATACTACTTTGTTCAACAATTATACTTCCCCACAGTATAAACAAATGTGTGTCCAAATTATCTCAGGCCCTACTTACAGAATACAATGGTTCAATTTTTAAATTAAGTTTTCACAACAAAAGTAGGAACATTTTATCCTTCACACTAAAGCTCATAAAGTTTAACTTCAAAATCTTTGGGACTAAACCATGAGAGGTCTGCCTTACTCAGACAAAGAAGCTTATAAAGCTAAGTCAACATTGAGAAGTGACTTCTGTCAAGCTTTGCCTGTAATCATTTAACAAATTTAAATGCATACTTAAGTGTATGAATAGTGACAGAAGAGACATAGTTTAAAATACACCATAAAACAGTTTCACATGAAAGACATATCCATTAGTGACAGACATTTATTTTAGAATCAAAGCATCTCAGCATATGGTGAACAGAGAATAAAACAAACTTTCAAGTTGCTTAAGGAAGTAAGCAGAAATACCTTACTGTCAAGCTTTAGCATGACACTTCCGAGTCCTCTGATGGGCCGTGGAGCAAGAGCCTCCTGACGTTCCTTCACAAAATTCTCAACAAATTGCCACCAACTTTTGCAATGGTTTGCCAAGAAGTTCAAAACTCCAAAATGAACCACGAGTTTTTTAAGTGCCCAAACTGTAACCATAAGAAGGAAATTAAGTATCAGAGATTTCAGACAAACACCACAAGACTACATACCTATTCCATTCCGAAAGACCTATGAAAAAGAAAGGAAAAGACTTTTGAGTTTTATTTCCCAGTAGAAACCACTCTCAGAATTTTCAAGTGGTTTTAGTACTAATCTCCTCACTCGCTTCACAGCTGGGCTTATCCACATGGAATTTAGATGACAGCAGAAGAAAGGTGCCCGCACACTATTCAATACTGCAGCTAAAGACTTGAACAAGAGCTGGGTGTCATTCCATGATTCCAGTACAGTGGATTTCTCACATGTTCATACACACACCACGACAGGTGACTCCACGTAAAATACCACATTCAGAACTTAACAGCATAATATAACTTTAACTTACATATAAAACAAAATTTTCAGCCTAAATTCTTAAGTTTTAGGTCTTTACACTGTTTAAATTATACCTTTCCTTGAAGAACTGACAGCAGACTTATTTCACTATATTCACTTTACTATATTTTACTATAAATATAGTAAAGAAGTATCCATTTTAATCTTCTGCAGAGGTACTACTGATTTTGCTTTTAAATATCAAAAAGGCAATTTTGAGATCAGCCTTGTCTTGGCAACATTTGGTAGTGAACTCCCTCTCACTACATTCAAATGTATTTTTAATAAAGCTTTTCCTTTACAATGAAAGACTATTCTCCAAACTGGATTCATTACTTACTGCCATATGTTAACTCCACAGTAGCTGGCAGTACACTACCTCATCCTGAAAAATCCACACCATGCTTCTGCCTGGAGATGCACAAAATAACACACATAACCTAAAAGTTTAACTTTCACTATCCACAGGGCGCTTATCAAAGTTCCACAACAGCCCATCGTCTGCAAGCCACACCTGTGATAGTTTATGTTCTTGTTCGGGGAGAGCCAGTGCATCAATTTGCTGACATTTGGTTCACCTACCCTCTGGTACCACCATGTGGCAAATATGGGATTTATTCTCTTGAAGAAAGAATAATCCAAAAATTTTTCTACTGAAGTCATGTGTCAAACACATAAAAAAGAAGAAAATACAGTGCAAGTGCCAGCACCAAACTTAAAGGCTGAAGTTTTGTACAATGAAATGCAACTCATGGTCAATACACTAACTGCTGCTCAGCAAAACTGGACAAGCTTGCATTTTACAAGGTGAACAACACATCTGAAACGGCATTTCAACTTTCCACTATAATTTAAAAATAAGTATTTGAACAATATCACCCAAAATAACTGAATGTACATTCATTGCAAAGATGATGTCAGGAAGTGTTACAGTCAAGCAAATGTCTAGTTGTATTAGGTTAAAAAGAGGTAAGAGAGAAAAAGCTAAAGGAGGACTGTTACTAGAATGTTGTGAGCAAAACTATAAAAAGGCTGCTTAATAAGAAATTCCAAACATCCCAGGAAGCAGAAGATTACCTGAAGACAAAAGAAAAAACCAATACAACGGAACAACAAGCAAGGAAGCAAATGAAAGATCTTAAAAAAAGGCAATACCAGGATTCCCAGGTTCACATCACTGAACAAAATGCTCCAAGTGTTCCACGACCTGTTTTACTGCTTAGCTTTTAAATCCATAGCAGTTCTTTTCACCTTTTAATTTTACGGTTTAATTACGGTATATTTTTTCCACCCTCTTCACTAAGCAATTTTAAAAAATTGCCTCATTCCATTGAAGTACAAATGTATTTAAGGAAAAATGTTAATGGTACTACGATGTTTCTAATAATCTAAATGTTGCTTCCTATGAGTCCTCTCTACCAATAAAAGGAACTCTGGTGAAATTAACACCTTTCTATTTAAGGTTTAGGGGAGGGGTTTTTTTGTGGATTTTTTTTTTTTCTTTTACATACTAGAAGCATTCTTCTTAAGGTCTCAGAAGTGGCTAAAGTTATAAGCCTCATTAAACTTGAACAGTTTCAAGGGAGTTTGCTTTATAAGCCTTCCTATTTTCCAAATATTTTAACTATTAACTCTCCTATGATGATTCCAGTTTATCATAATTAACCTTCTGACATTTAATGTAATCAACTGTTCTAAATTTGGCTTCATTCACCATTATACTGTTTATTTGTAATATTTTTGTGATGATCCAGTTATATTCAGCTATATGCTAAGAAAAAGCACTTAAAGGTCTAGTGTCACTGCTAAGGCAATAAGTAACAAATATTCCCAAAAGTAATTTCTCTTTCAGCATAAGTTTATTGGTTGGGTAGTTACTTTAGACCTAATGACTGGCAGCAGAAGTATTCATTTGTTTCATTTATAGATATGGACTTTAATCTAGATTTGTCTGGCTCAAGCTTAAAGCCATTCACTGCCATCTGTCTAACTGCAGAACTGTTCCATCCATTTTTCCTCCCACGCAAGTAGGCATTTCTGAACACTGGTTAAGTCACTCCTTGACTTTTCAATAAACTAAGCCACATAAGCTCTGCTTCTAATAAGTCTAAAATTCATTTTCTAATCTTTTTATCACTTTTGATCACCGTTTCTCATGATACCTAGACACCAAAACTGGGAAGTTTCTTCTGTAGTAAACTACACTGGAATGAAACAAAGGTCAAACCCCTCTCTCCTCTTACCTGGCATTCAGCTATTTATATGCCTAGACATCACAATACCCCTGAGTTGCTGCTACAGTGCCACAGCCAAAGGTGCAGTTGTTCCTTTTACTGTGCCTCCAGGAGTTCACAGCCCCTTGAGCCATTATGGCCCTACAGCCACGATTTCCAGAGGCACAACTAGATGGTTTACACTATCTTTGTGTATTGTCTGCAAATCTCAAGGTTTTGGTAGCAGGGTGTCGTCTGGGGTGACCTTCACGAGGAGAGACACAGTTCCAGGTGGCTCCACAAAAGATCCATCACAGGCCATATCTGAGCCCTGCAGGCACAGGTCTGTGGTGCTTTGGTGAAAATGTATTTAAGAAAGGCCACAAAACACTAGACAAGGAGAATAGGAAGAAGCATAGTAAGAACAAGTAACTAGAGAGGAAGAAGGGACAGAGGGATGTATAGAGATAATAAAAAGGCCAGGGAAGCAGAAGTGTTCCACAGTGGAACAGGCACACCACTCAGAGGGACCAGAGCCTGTGGAGGACCCATGCTAGAGTAGGTATACCTCCTGAAGGGACTACGGTCTAGGGATAGGAAGCCTGAGCTGGTACCTCCATAAAGAAGGGACTGCAGCTCATGGATAAGCCCAGATTGGTTTTGCGAGCACTTGGCCACTATCTGGGGCCAACCCAACTTGTCCACGGAGCCTAGCAACCTATTTTTGATAGAACTTAAAAGTTAACATGAGTAAAGCTTCACTATTGAATAACAGCTATTTATAGGTGCAAAAATATGAAAGAGAAGACATTAAGAGGAGGAAAAACTAACTTCTCTAAACTAGAAGTATTTTTACTACATAAGGTACGGCACTCCATTTCAAGTAACTACAACAGTCAACAGACAAAGCAATTTTACAGAGTTAACCACATGGTTACAGACAGCACACATCAATCTTCTTATCTGAAGCTAAAATTCATCTTAACAAGTCTTGAAGAAGTTTTAATTTAAAACTCATACAACCCTACAAGCCTTTCCTTCTATTTTATTTAACACAGTGCCTAAGGTTAGCTAAAGTCATCATTTAACAAATATTTCTAACAATTGGATTATTACCTGCAAAAGGCACTGGCAATAGCTGCACAATCCAAAAATTTAGCCAGATCTGAACAATGACGATGGCCCACACAAGTGTAACAAAGTAAATATCACTCGTTTTCTTTTTTCTAAGAAAAGATCCAATCTCAGGTCTTTGTCTGTTCCCAGAAGAAGAGGAGGAGATAGATGGTGCAGCACGTGGAGGCTGATCACCTTCTGTTACTCCTAAAACAAACACATGCAAACAAAGAAGTAGAAATTATCACGTTAATATTCACAGCAAAATAGAATATGCTCCCTATTCCTGAATTAACTTTTTCTTTCTGCAGTGGAGGAAGAGGGTAGAGAGCTGTGTTTTGTTGTTAGTTTTGGGGTTGGGTGGTTTTGGTAATTTCTATAAAAGACAGCCTTGGCACTGATTTGCATTTTGAAAAGTCAGAACAGGGCTGTGTAAAGCTCTCCCACATCCCGTAACACCATGCCAAGTAGTGCTGGGAGCAGAAAAGAAGAAAAGTTGCTACAGTTTCTAAGAGGCCTCCTGTCACTGCGGATAAATTACAAGCCAAATATATTTTATCAAAGAACCATAAAACCATGAGAAACACAAAGTATAATTCACTTCTAAAAGAAATCTGAAGTCTTAAAATTAATCTTTGATTTCCCTTTACTTCAAGTACTCAAAAAGGAATCTTAGATTTGCTCAAAACTCTTTAAAACAAAATAAAAAATACAGAGCATACACTGAAGAGAAAGCTCGTACCTTACAAATTTCTTACTATACTACTACTTTTCCTGAACACTTACAACACAAACATAGCACTCACACTGTGATCATGAATTCTTGCCTGTGTAATACACATTAGTAACACCAAGCATAAATTAGTGGGTAACAAATGTTGTCATCCTCTCACTCCAAAGTTAACACACATGAAATTCAATTAAAAAATGTGAACCGATGTGTTAAAACCCTTATACATGAACAGTAAACAGTAATTTCATGCAAAAACATTATGTTCAAATTAAAATTCTTGTATATAGAATATGGCAATTTATTATTTATTAAATTTTCTCAATGGCAAGTCTGCCTAGTATGAGAGACACCAAACCCATTTTCAGCCACTCTACACAGAATGTCTCCCCGGAAACACCAGTATTAACTTCTACTGAGTCTCCGTGCTGGTGTCAAAACACACACATTTCCAACACACCATTACTTGAGAAAAATTTGCAGCCATAATGGAGGAACACACACAGAAGAAAACCTGAAAAGTTATACTCTATGTTGAAGAATAAAAGGCAATTTATTAAGCTGGTACATACCACAGCTGGTAAAAAACGAACACCACTCTTTCACTGGACTTGTGTCACATCAACACATCTTCTCCCATAAAGAAAAGCTGTCATAAAAACTGTTCTACAAACACACTGCATGCACATCAGTCAAACAACTCATGTTCCACACACGCGCTTTTTGCTGCAATGTGTCACCAAAGCCATTTCTAGCCTAGAGCAAGACAGCCTGAATGTGCAAAAAGACAAGACCAATTTGTCATACGTGTACAGTAGGGGCAAGTGACAAACTCCGCATCCTCACACACCGGATGAACACTCTTCTTTTGCTGCAGAAGTCTGCACTGGTGTTCTACAAGCAAGTGGAACTATTTTTAGAGCTTATAAATATATCTCCCACCACACTAATACAACAACGCAGATCTATTAATTCACCCAACTGAGGGACACTGGGATGATGACAAACATCAGCTGGTTGCTGTTTATGTACTTGGTGGAATTTCAGAATGCGGGAATTACAGCATGCATGCAACATGAAAGAAGGAACTGTGCAAGCAGCTGAACGCAGCAGAAGCTTCAGGTGGGGTGGTTCTTGGCCAATCAGTATGTGTCTCAAAGGGATGATGGCCAGCCCTACCACACAAACTACACTTCTGAGAAAAAGAAACAAGTTAATTTTTCATAAGAGAAGAGAAAAAGTTACCTGCAAACAGAAATTTTCCTAAAAAGACAAACTGTTTTTGTCATATAGAAGAGGGTACTTCTCAGCCTGTTTTTAATGAAGCAGAAGAGTACTAACAGAAACAAATGGACGCACTAAAGGAACACAAATTTGGAAGCAGTGTATCCATAACTGAGAAATCTCCTCTATCAATTCAACTTACTGAACACTTCTTATTTTTTTTGCTTCAAAATTAAGACAGTCAACATAAAAAGTAACATTCCAACAAGCAGAAACTCAAATATTTATCAAAGGAAAGGAAGTACTAAAAGCTAAAACAGAACTATAATCTTAAGTCTATGCCTAAGATTAAAGTTATTAAACATTTTTTGCCCAGAAAGTCCTTAGTAGATTTACCTTCGTGAAATTAAAAAATAAAGCAAAACATTCCTTCTTTTGGTAATGAAAAATTTGATAGACTTTTTTTTGCAATGAAGAAAACCTTAATTAAGTAACAACAGTAATGTTAAAAGCAGTTAAGAGCAATTAAACAGCCTTATTCTCTTACAATTTCCCTGTTAAGCAAACTGTACACAGAATGCAAAACAGATGGGAAGGAGTCGGGGGTGGAGGGGAAGAGGGAAAAAAAAGGGTCTAAAATGTCTTAGGGGACCCCAAGACATTAACACTTTTTCAGAATGCAATTCCACAGCACTTTAGGCAAAACTGAACTGGCACTGCCAATGACCCAGTATTCTCCCCATGACTAACACACACTTGCATCAGAACTACCATTCAGATGTCTGTGTCCTAAGTCACATTCCATGGGCAAGATATGCTCTACAAACCAAGGCATGAGTGCCTTGTCAACACAAATGGGGAAAAAAGGCCTATCAGTATAGTGATTCAGAGTAACATCCGGTTCTGTAAAATCCCATTTAGTGGGTTTCATGATATTTTGAGAGATGAAACCTGAAAAACACCTTTCTGTCTTCCAGCCAATGAAGGTATGACAGCCCAAACAGCTAACACAATACTCAGTAAAGAATTATAGAAAAATCTGAATAATAACAAAAAAAAGCAAATTTTCCAGCTGTCCTTTTAAGACACATTCTTTTCATTTACACAGTATGTTTTCTGTCATGTTAACTTCTTGTTGTCATAGAATTTTGAATTATTCTCATCCCCAAGAAGAAAAAGCAGCATTAATAGAAAGCTGTCCGCATCTTTCCACGATTTAAAGAGAAAAATATTTTTATAAGGTTTTTTTTTTTTAGAAATGAAAGAAGCAGAGGGTGAAAGGGAGAGTAAGAGACATGAATACATTTAAAGATTTCAGTATCTATCATATCCAAAGCCAATAAGACAATAGAATATTTCCTAAAATGTACTGCAGTGGTATCTGCTTCATAAGCTGCAGGCTTCTCCTTTGTTTTATATTCTGGAAACTCCTGGAACACCAGGAAGCACCACTTAGACCACTTGCACTGGTATCATTAAACTCCTTGCCCTCAGTACTAAATACCAGTATTCAACAATAAAACATGGAAAACTTGAGTGTTCAGACAAAACTATACAATCAACACAGCTTATTTCCCCTCATGGTTTTTCAGTGAACAAATTTAAGCCATATGGAGAACAGTAAAAATCATTGACTGTTCCACAACTGATTTAATACAGAATAAGGAAAACAAAAAAAGTTGTAGGTTCTTGAGCCTGTAAGTAAAACCTTTTGCTGTACAAGAATTATGTTTCATCACCATTCAGAAAAGATCCAAACCAAAGATGGTCAAACTTATGCTTCACATATCACAGAATAGAATGCTGATTTCCAAAAGATTATTGCAAAAGTATTTTAACTGTTGCTAGGAGTTAACAGGAAACCCCATACTGGTTCTTTTCCTGCTGTGCAGGAAAACAGTAACAGAATTTGCAAGACAAAAAGACCCAACTGGATGACTGTTTCAAGATGATAAGTCAAAACATTTACTATAAAAGACATCGTTTTAAAACTGCTGTAGTTTTCTTACAAACAGAACTAAAACTGTCTTAAAGACGTGAAAAAATTAAAACTGGTGAGTTAAAAAAAAAAGCAAAAAAGAACACAACCACTTATATAGCACATTTCTGTGAGCCTGGTTTGGTTTTTTTTTGTTGTTGCCTGTTGCCTGACTAGATTTCAAAATTCAGCTCAAAAAAAATCTCACTTCCAAAATTAAAGATGATTTTTTGATTATAGTAATGTAAAATATAGAAAGAAAGGTAAGAAAAGACTAAGTTTTCTAAAGCTGCCCTTCTCACATTTAAAAAATAAGTTTTGGAATTTCACATTCTATCAAGTTGAATGTCTACTTGCAGGAAATGGATGAAACTTTTCCCAGAGATCTCAATAATAGTTTTATTTTCTAGTATAGCATTCCATCAAAGACCTACCCAAAAATGATGGTAAGATTCAAAAGCAGTGATGGACACCTAAAACACCTTCTTTGCAACTCTTTCAAGCCAGTTGTGTTACTGCAAGTGAAAGTATCATGTGACTCAAGCTACAGTGTCAAGTAAACTCGCTACAGGAAGGACTTTGACCATACCATGGTTAAAGTGTTTTTTTTTTCCTCACTATGATGTATACAAAAATTATTCCAGTCTGTCTGTACTTGGTGGAAAAAAACCAGTTATATCATGTAACTGTCAACAAATCAAAAGGCTAGGAAAATAAAATAATAATAAAGAACAAGAAAAAATGTAAAAAACCCTCAAAACCATAATAAATCCTTCTAGTCAGGCCTTCAAAACGTACAGACAGCCACACAAACCACCCTTTGAAAGACAGTTTTTATATTAGCATCTTCTTAACATTTTTAAAAACAGATAAATCTGATTCATAAGGGAAGTTTAAATGTACTATTTTGGACAGAATAAAGAGATAGGGACTATTTTGAAATTTATTCTTAACTCCCTCCAATTTCATGTCTTTAGAGCAAATTCAAATGTTTCTTACAGAGTATTCAGTCACCTGAGGGTTGGGAGGAATGTTCATTATTAGATTCATCTTCTGTCATTGAAATAGCCATGGCAATTGTTGAAGCAGCAATGGAAATCATCTGACCGGGAAGCTCTGCCCCTGTAAAATACATATGTGTATGTAAACAAAGAAAAGTTTAAGTCTTAAAATGTTTTATTTTCTGTTTGATACCCATTGAAGCTGTCAAGCAACAGAAATCACATGGATAAACACTGTTATTTTTTAGCATGCATTATATGTACTCAGTATGACCAAACAGGAATGAGTGCTATTAATTTTAGTATTAAACACAATTTTTGCAGCCAAAACTCAAAAACAGTTATTTGTTTAGTGCTTTTCTTACTAATGAACTGCTACCAACCAAATAATTTGTGGTTGCTGGCAGTCTGATCATTCAAAAAAATTTGTATCAGTTCATCAGTTTTACTAACCAACTATAACAGCAAGACAGGAAAAAAGTTTCCTTCACCAGGAACAACTGATGTTTGTTTTTTTTGGCAAAACTGACTCACAACAGGCAAAACCTATTCTTCTCAAAGTCTTAACACAAACCATTACTTTAAGAAACTGGTATTTTATAAATGAATGACTGGATATAAGAAACTTCCTGAATGGAGTTGTCTCTGTTTCTCTCATACTCAGTATTTTAGGAGCTACTAAACCCATATTACTCATTTCTTTCAAAATTATCCTCTGATTTCAAATATCATGGGCTATGTTTATGTTTGAAATTTGGGTTTGATAGTGAGTCACTACTTTACCATGGTAAAGAAACATCAGTCCATTGTAAAAATTTTCTGTAAAAAATCAAAGATTCACTCCATCTCTAGTAAACCACCTTAAAACAAACATGCTAAAAATCTTATAGTAAATTCTTGAAATCTGTGTGCTATTGAATTTACAGGGATACAGTCCAGATTCTTTCTCATGACTTTACAGAACTTTTGCCTCCAACAATAAAAGAAACAGTGACTTGTCCTTACCAGAAGACTCCTTTCCATTCTGCTGTTCATGCAACATGCCTACAGTCATCAGAACAACTATAACCAGAAATACAGGAATTCTCCAGGAACCTGCCACAGAAGCTGAAAGATACAGTGTTGGTTTTGGTTTTCTTTTTAACAAGAAAAATTACACCATTAATAAACTCTACATTCAGAAAAACTATAAAGGCACCACAACAACAAAGAATAACCTAGGCAAAGACTAAGAAGTGTCTTAAAACAAGTTTTCTATATGTAAGAAAAGGAAGAATAGAAAACACCGGTGAACAAGTTTCTCAATGAATAAACCAAGTTGTTACTGTTCCTTACTTAATTTAAACTATGCTTATACAGAGAACAATTTTAAAAACAACTTGCAAAATCACACGAAAATACACACAAAATGAAAACATTTTAGATATCAGAGGCAGATCAAGTTCCCCCCAAAAATGTATATTCATGTTAGATCTCCATAGAGTAGGATCAAGCTGGGCCTTCTTGGGCTTTGGCTATTCAGCCCATACTTCCAAACACAAGACTGTCAAAATTTAAGCAAATGCAAAGCTATTATGTGTAGCTTAAAACCTCAGGAGAGCAACTCCACATGGTCTGAACAATCCTTGAAACCTGCTGCTAAAACAAAGAAAATCATAAAGTACACTGTGAAATCTTCTATCATGATAGTCTTCTATTATTTGCATGATACATCCACCATAAATTCTGATACGAAAAAATAAGCTGATAATCTGTCATATTTAATGTGCAATGTAAGTCTAAAATATTACTATAACCTTATATTTCCATTAACACATTATATAGACTACTGGCAAATGTATTTTATGTTGCTGATACCACCTTGACATGCTTGTTGACTACTGATAGAATTTTTCTTTTTTTTGCTTCTATTACTACTATTAAATGCATTTTACAGCTTCAGCCTTTGTTAATGGCAGGTTGTCAATACAATAATAATAATAATAATAATACCATCACAAGTGAAAGTCTAAAGCCACCCACATGTGACCCTAGCCTTTCCTCAATGTCAAGGAGTAAGTACCTGGTCTGTGGAAAATCCGTGAGAAATACAGAAAGGGAAAACCATGAGAAATACAGAAAGTTTTTCTCATGGAAAACCATAAGAAGTATGAATTAGGTAGGAAGAGTGGTAGACACATGTTGCTCAGCATCTTGATACCTTCCCATTCCCTACTCCAATGCTCCCTTCTGGAGACATGCAGTCAGAATCATTGAGCAGAGAAAACAGTTTGCACTTCAGCCAAGACTCCATCACGCAGATTTACCAGAAAAGCAAAAGAGGAGCTTTGTTGACAGACCCTCCCCATGAATGCATCAAAATAATAACTTCTAGTTACTCACCTAAGTGAAAGAGCAGCATAAGCCAGACAGGAACAGAGACTGCTTTTAAGTAACGTTCAGTGCTTACATTCCACTTGAATGAAACCATCAGAAGGTAACCAACTACCAGTGTCCATATCTGTAAGAAAAAGATACACATAGGTATGTATACATAGATGAAAATAGAGCACTATTGTACTCACGTATGTCTGTACACACAGGCACACCCCCATAACTGCCATACAGAGAGAACTGAACTCAGTTTCTAAGTCTTTAGGAAGCCCACATTTGAATTAATTACAGGAGTTTTTTCTCCATGTAGGCGAAATATAAACTCAGTAAGCATAAAGGCAGGCTAGTATGGTTCTAACGTGAGGGGATATAAATGCTTTGCTGGGCACAAACTCCAAAGGAAGGTGATCTTACACCTGAGATCAAGCAGTTACTCTGGAACTATTATCGAAAGGTGAGAACCTAAATGAAACAGGGTCATCAGTGGCACCCACAGGGCCATGGGAAGACAGAGCACAGCACCTCTCCTTTCAGCACAGAGCAGTTTGCCAGCTCCTGTGTTCCCACCCAAAGAGACAAAAGGGGCTTTAAAGAAGCCATCAGGAAGCACAGCAAAAACTGATGTTCCTCAGTGGTGTTGGTCCACAAAACAGAGATGCCTTTAAATGACTTATGACACGTAATTTTATCATATATCTAACTAAAAAAACCAAAGAGACAAGAAGGCATCAGTGACAACATATCAAGAAACAGAAGTGGTCATTTTGGGTTTGCTGCTTCTAACTGCTTTCTACAACTCTACTCATCAGATAAATCACAATACAGAATTCTAATTAAGAATCCTGAGATGAAGAATTTGAGCTTGAAAATGCTGAAAAGAAGGAAGCACTGGCAACAGGTAGTGAAAAGCTGCAATTCAGGAGAAGGTATGAAATAAAAGAAGTACAAAAACCAGTAAAAATAAAAACTCAGTGTTGCACTTTTAAAATAAATAAAGACACTTCTGGTTCAAATTCAACAAACCTTCCCTATCCATAACCGATTAAGCACATCTTCAAATTTACACTTATAAATCCATAAATCCCAATGAATTTTTAAGAGAATTTCTATTACCAGCATTTGCTGAATAAGACAACACTGTAAGAATTAAGAATGCACAGGCAGAGACACAGAACAAGTAATTAGGCAGAACACACCAAAAGAGTTTTCACCTCTTTACCCTGCACTATCTGCCTCATGCTGAAGATGCAAGAGTCCTTGTGAAAAGCAGGTTTGTATGACTACTCCTAATTTATCTAATTGGTGTATAGGAAATCTTAGTTGTACTGAATCAAACAGACAAGCAGTGATGGTCTGTGGTAACTTCAGAGGGATTGATCACACATGTAAGGTAATTTAAAATCCCTTAAGATATGCGAACAAAGGTATACCCTTTCCATACTAATCTTTCTAATTGAAGCAGATCACAAACTTTTCACTGCTATCTAGGTCTAGCTTTTCATCAACATAGCTGCAAATTGGTTATGGCCATATGTGGACTCAAGACAAATGACTAAAACTAACATAACCCATGGATATTAAGACTAAAGTAATAAACAAACAAATTTTTATTGAAAAGGCATAGCAACACTAACAGCATAGGTTTATAACAAATTTACTCACAAGGCACTTCACAGCACAGCTGTAATTGCAAGAGATAAGTCATCATGAAGATGCTATCCTATTTCCTAAAATAAGCTACATAGCAGCTTTGTATGATAAATCTTCCAGCACTAAGCAGATTTTTCTCTTTAGTTTTCAAATTTAATGATAAATTACAAATGGGAGACTCAGTACGTTCAGTAATTTAAACTTTCTGATTAAAAACAAGCCAAAAGTAGGAGGTTAAGAGGGGATAAGACTGTTTAAGAACCAACAAAGCCAAACACGTTGCACTTTTAGCCATGCAGGTAGCTGAACATTACAGGGTTTAGGTAATCTTTAGGTATCTTTTGTGTTGTAAGTTAAAATAATTGATCAGTTCTCTTTTCTAAAAGCTTATCAAATGACACAAATAAAAGTATTTATTTCTACTGAATAGAGAGAAATAGCTTACTTCAAAATAAACAAGTTGCCTTGTTCCAGAGATCAAGCAATAACAATCCTGAAGTAGCATAAAAAAAACTATGTAGTCAACTGACTGGTGCAAGAAGTTTAATTTCACTGAAATTAATTAATTTCAATTCAATTTATTGGTTGATGTGATGGCCAAGCAGTTTCCTACACTGCAAGAACCACTGCACAGGAAGTAGGGTAGCCTACTTCCAACAATTCATAGTTGAAAGCAACTGACAAAGCAAATTAACCTAAATTGACATGGACTAGGATTTCATCCCATGCTAACTTGGCAACAGCATACTTTTTTTTTTCTTAACCCTTTAAAAGCATGTTACATAACCTTTCCCACTGTTTTTCAGGGTGGTCTCCAAAGGTTTTGGCTACAAGAGCATGACAATATAAATAGCCTCTTTACTATCATATGTCCTTCTCAAGAACTGACATAATTGAAACAAAAAAATAAAAGATACTGCCTACTTTCATTAAAATTAAGCTACTGTAATTATTGTAATGAAACTGGAATTGATAAAACGCTATGCTAGACTGAAATTACTATAAATCTGATTTGTAAGAGTACAGAGCTAACCAGGTAACTAATTCATACATTTCGGACTTCGTAGAATGCATTAGCTACCATAAATTATTGATTTATCAAGCTTTAGTCAGTTTGCAGATGCCTAAGTTCCACCATGTACACTGAGATTTTAAATCACTACTCAATCACAATTGTTATTTACAAATGTGCACAACTCCCATATATCTCAACTTCAGGATAGTTTAATCCTGTAAGATTTCCTTCCTCCTTTCCTTGCTTATCCTAAATTGTGTGGATAGACAGCAAAGACCTCATTTTTCATATCTCTTTTCCATTTAGTAGCACCCAGTATCCTTCACAAATTGAACAAAATGTCACTTTGCCTTCGAAGTAAAACTGCCTCCTTCCCTGAATAAATAGCTGTAAGACTGCAGTCTTGGATTTTGGCATCCATTTCTTTGTTAAAGTGGTAAATTTAAGAGGGTAGATGTAAAGATGCCTTAGACAGGTCTGAAGGGCTTCAGTTAAGTTGCCAACTGGAGGCAAAATTACACCATAGAAAGATGAAGTTTTTATGTTAAACTCAGTCATCTGCTTCAGTGATTTTTCTTTTAAATTTTAGTGTTGAGAAGTCTAGGATTTATCAGAATGACCATATCACCAATGTTACTGAAAGTCTGTTTCTCATTATTGTTCAACTTGAAAGATTTGAAAATCTGAGCCACTCTTTTGGCTTTGGCATCAGTTTTCAAGAACAAACTCAGACTCAACTTTTGACATTTATATTGATTTATACTGGAGAGTAAAATCCTTTATTTATACGGTTCCCTCCCTTTCTTTCCTATCAACAAGTTAATCTCAAAGGGGGAGGTTTTACAGATGAGCTCATTTAATAGCTCACTGCTACTGAAAGCGGCAGTTCATTCTCTCCTACTGCCAGCTGGGCAGTCCCACCTCTTCTGCACAACAGCTTCAACATTCAGCCAGCCAGCTAAAGCTCCCTAAGCTCATAAAAAACTATCTGTAATTCAGTTACAGCAAAACAGGCTCACAGAAATCTGACAGGCACCAACAACAGGGCAACTGAAGCATATGTCAGAAGTGGGATAAGCAAGAACAGCTCTTCACTGGTAGCAAAGCTGTTGGAATGGTTTAGTCTTTCTTGGAATGTTGCCCCAACAACTTAACGTATGGTAGTAAACACATTTCCTACCTGCTTCATGTGCCTTCTCAGGCAAATAGTGTGATTCTTGGGGTGGTCCTGTCCAGGGCCAGGAGTTAGACTTCAGTGATCCTTGCGGGCCCCCTCCAACTCAGGATATTCTATGATTCTATGAACCACCCCACAGCAAACACAACAGTGAAGACTGAGATGATTAACTAACAGCTACTTCTTTTGATATATGCCCTGTCAACCTTCCAAAATTTTTCAGTTTTTAACAAGTCAGGACCTACCAAATGAGGTGTTTCAACTCTCATTTTCTATTTGTCTACCCTTGGCCATTTTGAAGTGGTATTTTTTTCCAGGCTGCTCTTTTCAACTTGAAAATCATACAGCAAGGTTTTTAGGGTTTGGTTTATGTTTTAATTTATTGTTTGTTTTTTAATTGAGATTTAAATTTAAAAATGTTTGATGAAATCACAGATGTAATGCAAATTGCTATTTTCCAGTTTGTTTCAGCATTTTGAACCAAGAAAAGGGCCTACCTACCTCATCACTTCCCTTTAGCATTTTAAAATAAAATTTTCACTTGAAAATTGAGATTTTCATTAGTTTTTCTTAAAATAGAAAGTCCTTATAAACACATGGACTACACATTAACATAGCACTTTTCTCATACTTTTAAAATTGTGCTGTAGCATGAAGCTGGTTGAAATAACTGATCTTATGACAGGAATTCATCATTTCTATATCTTCTTCCTCAACAGTGATGCAGGCTGGCAAAGGAAAACAAACCTACCACAGAAGCTGAGCAGAATAGTGTTGGACTTGAAAAATGCAGCAACACACAGCATTAAATGCACTGCTAAAAGCCACACTGTGTTTGGCTTCAAAAAAATCACAGTGTTTTCTTCAGCTTTCTGTTCATTTGCAAATGGTTTCATGAACAATATAAAAGATGATAAGGAGGCAGATGACAAATTACGAAAATGTCATTTTGACTCCAGTTTTCAGAACCAAAATTAATTTCAGGTGGCTATACTGCATATTCCTTAGTGCACAAGAGGAAATATCCCATAGTGTGTAGAGTCTAGCAGAGTAAGAGTGCGTAACTGTCCTTCATTTAGCATGGAGAAAGCCTTTGTCAAACAGATCACACACGGGAGACTATTGTTCACCTCAGAGCAAAGTCAACCACCTCTTCCCTTCACTAAGGAAGCCATCATTTATATAAAGTGGGTTCTAACTGAACACAAGTCTTGCTCCAAGTCCAAAGGACTAGAACAGTGTACATATTCTGTTTCTCCTAGAATCCCCAACTTTGACATATACCCATGTTGATGTCTGGCATTAAAACACATAGACTACCAAACCACATGAAAAAGAAACATGGTGTTGACTGAGATGACTCTTTTTCAAAGGGACAAAAGTATGAACTTATAACTGAAACCTGGGGTGGGGGAGCAACCTGACCATCAAAATCTGCACTGCCACACAGGGGTTAAAAGTATTTTCAATGTGCCCTGCAACGTTTCCTACACTGTGAGTTCAAGAAAGAAAATATTAAATATAAGATATCCAGAAGATTGCAGCTATGTTGATGCAGGACGTTGAAAATATTTTTCCCTTAGTTCACTTCTCCTGTCTTAATACAGAAATTATTTATGAGAAATTGACAATAAAAACACTATTCAGAAATCAAGCTTATCAAGATTCACTTGCAAAAAGAGGTTTTACAGAGCACATCAAAGTCTTTCCCTGCAGAGCACCACTCTAACAACCTTCACGGTGGCACTTTTGCAAGAGATAGCTCCTCAACATACACAACTTCTTCACTTTCTTGTTTTATTATTTAGAATACAGTTAAAATTTTGCTGGACAGTTCCAAAATTATCATTCCTGTCAGAGGTGGTAGAAAAAGAAACATCATTGTGCCCAAATACATATAAATACCAATAAATAACTAACATTATGTAGCATATATCATTAGGCTTTAGGCTAGTGTCAGCTTAGAGTCTGCGGTTACAGTTCAGGCATATAAATCAAAACAAGCTCCTAAGCCTCTTCAAGAAAGGTACCTCACTGCAGGCTCTTCCAAAACTGAGGGTGGGTGTGGAAGGGAAAAATAACAATAGAAAATAAAACATTATCAACATCTCAGACTTTCCCTGCCCCTCCTCCTCATGTTTTTAAATAGGCCACACGTGGTCTCTACACAGCTTATCAGGTTGTGAAAACAAGCCAAAACCTGTGGTTTTGGTAAGATGTGTTTACAGTCAGTACCTGTCTGTATGATTTATAAGCCAAGATACCATAATAATAAAGGATTATAAAAAGTGGTAAGAATACTTAAAAGGTTTTTCTGTGTTTTTTTTTTTTTTTTTTATGCTGGGCAAGTTTTAGAAAACTGCAAGCCTGCTTTAAGAAGAAAAAGAAAAAAAAAAAAAAACCAGCTACCCAAAACACTCAAAAAGTAGAAATTGTATGCACATCAAAAATCAGAACTGTGTCTTTCTCATTTGTAGTTATTTCCAAACTATGGTCAAACTATGGTCAAACCCTTTCTTTTGCTTGAAGAAAAATTGCCCCGTCAGGTGAACTTGACAAAACATAGATGCTTTTCTGCCTCCAGAGCAGAACTGCGGAAGCCAAACCTCTCAGAGCACGTGACCCAAAGCATTTGTCAAGAAGCACGCTTGAAAATTTCAGTGTGGAAGGGCTACTTAGGGACTGCTGACATCTAGTGCCAACATAAATGGAGGTTTCCCCGGTGGATGACTCTGATAGATTCCGTCACAGGGAACAGACAGTCCATCTGCCAAAACAGGCAATGCATACTTTGACAATATTCCAGTGTGGAAACCCCACGGAAAACTGTGTTTCCAGATTTGCCCAGCATTGCAGTAAGGATAAGATTGCTTAAGTCCTTTAACTGCATGCAAACCTCTAGAACAACACGAGCTTCACCTAGTACAATCAGAGATATAAAAATATTCTGACACACACATATCAGTACATAGTTCTTACCCTGACCAATAACTTGTGATAAACCAAGGAAGAAAGGCTGGCCAGCAGAAAAAGATTTTGACAGCCCTATAATCAAGTTCACTACAGAGAATTCTGCCTATTACGATTAAATCAAATTTAATTTATTAAGATGAACTTCAGAGGCAACACAGAGCAGCTGTATAATTCTTTACATCTGCTAGGATCTACAAACTATCCATTTTCCAAACAAATATGAGCATGTGAGTTCTAAAAAAAAAAATAATAATAAAAAAAATGTCAGCCTAAAGTAGTTTGAACTCTTGCCACAAAGCAGAAGAATCTCCCATATCTTAGATACAGTGCTGGACACAGGCATACTTCCTACAAAACTAGGGCAACAAGGCCATCCCAGGTTAGTCTTCAGAAGGCTACCTGTAAAGGTAACCATGCTGAAATTGTTGCAGCATAAAAGCACATAGGGGTATATTCAGTCCACTACAGGACAAACTCCCCTCCTTTCTGAAAAAGGAGACTAAAACATTCCCATTTCTTGTTATGTGTAACTGAAGTTTGTGTAGGGCCTTCTACATAAGGCTCCTGCAAACAACCCATAGAGAAGGCTGGAGTCAGAGCAATTCATCTGGAATTTTTCACCAACTTCCAGATTTAAAGCCCAGCAGACTACTACATTTCTTGAGCAAGCTTCTTCAAAGGTGATGGAGGAACTTTAAAGCAGGAAGGGAAGAAAAGGAGACCATGGGAATGAGATGCTTGTAAACTAGCTTAAGATCTTGTTCTTCAAATGCAGTGTTTTGCAATCACCTATCAAAAAATCTCATCATGGAGGTACCTAGGACTGCAAATTCCTAAACTGCAGCTAAGACTTAAGAACCACAGACAGGAAAGTAGCCACTTCCAAATCTTTCACTCATCAACACTATGAATGGCTTTTCCAGATTTGAGGACAGCAAGATAAGAAAGCTCTTTAATGTACTGGTGCCAAGACACAGTTTACCAAGTCATTATCGCATGAAATTGCTGCATTTGAAGAACCGAGGTTTTTTTCCTGGGACTTAAGAGGAAAATTTCTGTCTCTGTATCATTGCCTAGTAGATACCATAAAAACATCTTTCATTAGAGAACACCAGACTAGCATTCCAAGAATGCCCAATTCTCATGATAGGCATCCACTCACTTCTCTAGTATAGCAGAGGGAATCAGAAAGGGACAGGATAATCATGCATACAGAAGGAACCGTGGAGGATTCAGATCCCAGAGAAGAACAGTACAACGGAGCAAACCAACGCATAATATTTGAGATTCTTATGGAGCTAACATGCAGAACATACACATGTAAACAGCGTCCTGCAATATAACACGGCAATTAAATGGCTTTAAAATGCTTAACTGAAGTTAAAGCTGATACTATTAACTGATCCAGCTCAGGGCTCCTCAGCAGAATGGATAAAATTAAGTTATCCTGCTACAGTTCTGAGATAATACAAAGTAAGTAACCACAAAATTTTAAAAAAATTGAATAGGAACACACTATAAAGTGTTTAGATGATGCCAGGCTAAGACGAGGTTATTTACAAAGGAAAGCAGCTTGCTTAGAAAGCTACTGCAACTGGTTTGCTTAGGGATGTCTGTGGCCAGTTACTTGGACACAAACACAGAATTTTCCCAAGAAAGCCTGAACAATTCTGGGAGCTTACTATCTTTGGTCCAGTTAAAATCTTACAGCAGTTCAATGAACACAAGCCTTAAATCGCAAATACCAGTGCAAAACCAAAGTATCAGAGACTGCGAAATAAAGTTGCACTGAGCATGCACAGTGCATTACAACCATAGTTATGAGGTTAAATCAGTGCAGCTTCCTTTAGTGCCCTGATATTTACTCAGTGTAAGTATGGCTTAATTAACAAAGTTTTAATAAAAGCCTGGACTTCGCCAGATCAGTTAGTGTAGCAATATCACTGATTTGTTAAAAATAAAGCGAGTGGGTCAATGCAAAGAAAAATCTTAAACTTATCAAGTAAATTGTGTGGCAATAAATCAACGCTTCCCACCAGTACCAAGCCACGCTTAGATTCTGCCACTACTCAGCTGAAGGTAAACACAGTTTGTATCTTGCCTCTTCATAAAGAAGAAGGCAAGATACGTCTCTCCCTACTCAGTCTCAATTATACTTCTGAGGACAAAACAGACCAGAAACATACGTCCCCTGACATCTTCCAGCATATGACAACACTTCAAAACAGAAAGCCAAGAAGATATCTTCCTCCCCTGTCCTGGAAACAAAGTACATTCTTCAGCCTATTCTATTCACACTAGAAATAGCTCAAAATATCCTCTGTCAGTACATTCAGGAAAACTATTACCCAACAGGGCAGGGGTATTTTGTTACTTTAAAAAATAGAGCAGCTTTTAAAGTCTTTGATACCAAGCAATCTGAGCATGCAATTGTACATTAGTATTTAACAACAGTTCAACTTACTGATCTTCCATGTTTTCACATATCCATTTGCTTCTGATATGTAGTATTTTATGCATTCTCAACTATAACTAGCAAAGTGTAAATGAGTTCTGCCAGAAGTTTTAACTAGTCTACTTACTGAACAGGACAGGGAAAAACAGTCTCCCAGATTCTGTCACTCTAAGCAACATCTGACAGTTAAACAGCTTTACCTTTTTAACGTTCAAATTGAGTTTGCACCGTCTGGTGTTTTAAGAACGGAAAAATACCCAAACAACCCAGTACACTGAGAGACAAGCCTTACGGTGCCTTCGCCCCCTCCCCAAGTCACTTGTGCAGCTGAGCTGAGCTTCCATTTCACAACACTTTAATACACACCTCAGAGCTCAACAAGCCTCAACAAGGCTGAGTCACTTTTTGACTTAGCAGCATCTCCAAACTGGGGCACGACCAAACCATGGGCGCGGAACCCCGGCACTCACTCACCCACTGGCTGCTGAAGTAGTCGAGCCCCTGGCAGATGAGGCGGGCGGCCTGTGCCAGCAGCACCTGCACGCCCAGGGAGCTGCCCAGGCAGTACAGCCCGTAGAGCAGCGGCCCGCCGGCGCCCAGGAGCAGCAGGAGCCGCCGCCGCCGCAGCACCTGCTCGCCCAGCGCCTCCACGCCGTAGTTGGCGAAGCAGATGGGCAGCAGGAGCGCGGCCAGCAGCACGGGGGTGCGGGAGCGGTGCAGGCGGCCGAGCCAGCGCCGCCCCAGCGCGGTCAGCGAGGTCTTGAAGGGGTGCAGGAAGGTGCCGCAGAGCACGGCCCAGAGCAGCGGCCGCAGGAACGCCTCGAGGATGAAGTACACCAGGACGGCGGCGCCGCAGCACAGCCCCGCGAACAGCAGCGCCCCGGTGTTGTAGAAGGCCTGTTTGATCGGCTTCTCCAGCCGCGGCAGCGACATCCCCGCCGCCCCGCCCGGGCCGCCCAGCGACAGCCGCGGCATGGCCGCACCCGCGCCCTCCGAGCCGGGGGACTCGTCCGACCGCCGCTCCCGCGTCGGCGAGGCCGGAGGGGCCGCGCCGGGACCCGCGTCGGAACCCGCGTCGGGACCCGCGTCCGGAGCCGCGGCGGGAGCCGGCTGAGGCTGCGCTGTGCTGTCAGCCATGGCGCAGCACGGGCACCGCCGCCGCTCCGGGCCCGCTGCCGGCGGGCGACGCGCAGCTGCCGCGGCGGCGGGCGAGGGCTGGGAGCGGGTCGGAGCTGCCGGGTCGGAGCTGCCGGCGCGGAGGGGGCGGAGTGGCGGCCGCGGCTGAGGTGCCGCCGCCGAGCGGCTCCGGCACGGCGCGGGCGTGCGCCCAGCCCTGCGGGAAAGGGGCGGTGGCCGCCGGGAAGGGCGCTGGGAAATGTAGTTCCGTTCCAGGAGAGCCAGCGGCCGCCCTCCCGTCCCCCGGCGGCAGGACATGAGGGACTGTCCAGGGCACCCTTATCCCGCCGAGCGCGGGCCGGGGCTTCTCAGCGCCTTCCTGATGCTTGCTGGAGAAGGCGGCCAAGGGCGAGAGCGTGGAATTGCCCAGCAGCTTGTTGCATATCCCCATCCCGGAGGTGTTGCTCTGTCGCTGCTTCTTCCTTAAACGGCTCTCCTATCCTTACTGCTGCTCTAGTCTCGGGGAGCAGAAAAAATTCGGGGCTTTGGAGTGTCATTCAGAGATGTGGAGTGTCAGTTGGAGAACAAGACCGGTTAGACCATCTGAAGAATTTTGTCTTGTCTGAACATGTTCTGGCACTAAAGTATTTAACAAGGAAGCATCTGTGCTTTCACTGGGAATCAGGCCTACTGAAAAGGTAGTTGTTCTGTCTGGTTTTTTTTAGATCTGACATTTGTGATAATTGGCTGCATCAAGTGTGATTTGCAAATAATCTAGCGGGGAACTAATTTCCTGCAGCTGTCATATACCAGACCCTTGAGTCCAGGCATAAGGGCAATAAATAACATTTTACAGGTGGTCTAAATGCCTCTGTAATAAATACACTTGGTCTCATCAAATTTTGCAAGGGCTAAAATCCATGGTATTGGAACAAGCTCAGTGCTGGCACTGTGCTAGTCAAAGTTTTCCCTCCACAGCTTAACACAACCCTTCTTCAGCAGGTACTAAAGCTATTGGTTGTGATGTCATAAAACCCTCAGAGAGATCTTCCTCTTTCTTTTAAATGAGAGGCACCGTATCCTCTACAACATAGTACAGAGGTCACATAGCTCTGAACATGTAAAAAGTGCATACAGGAGTTTGATTTTTTTTTTTTCATTTTTTTATACTATTTGGGATTTACATGCATGTTTAACCTTATGTAACTTAATGTTAGATCAGAGTCCGCCAGGACTTTGGTGGAGCATTTCTTGCATAATGGATAAGTTCAAAAGCTGACATTACCCTGAACATAACTGTCTTTAACTTGTAAAGTGGAAATAGATCTATTCATAGCTAAGCTTTTAAATGCAGAGCAATACAAAGACAACAGACCATAAATGAGACCTACCCCTATCATCATCCCAAGGGGGAAAGGTAGAGGTTTCTCCCCACGCTTCTTGTAACTATGTTGCATCCAAAAGGCCTAGGTGGAACTGGGTCCAGCCAGTTTCCCAGAGCTTTTGCACTGCAGTCCCGACTTGTCCATGCTGCAAATCCTTTCCTGCCAGATACACAGAAGTTCATGCTTGTAAAGGTTCCTCTTAGCTCCTGCAGCTACTTGTTTTCCTTTACTGAACAGATCACAAGTAGACTCAACAAAGTGCTTTAATTGTATGTATTTATAAACCTACAGGCACTTTGTTTGATGCTGATGGTGATGAGGCATTGCAAGCAGTTGTCCATATGAGAAGCTTTTATTGAACCTTAAACTGATATTGTCACTCACTGCTCTTTAATCAGATAGATCTGCCTCCTGGCAGGGTGCTGAAATAGATATCAAGCATGCATCACTACCTGAACATTTTCTCTTTAGTTCAGAAGCATGCCAAACTTTAATAGCTCATTACAATATGTTTTATTGCATTAAAGTTCAATTAGCAAGTGTCAATTAAGATTTACACAGGGGGAGAGCAGAGAGCTGAAATCCTTCTGTTAGCTAAACAGAGATGCCATCAAACCAAATCTTCAGAGGCACATCCTTATTCCTTTGATTTTTCTTAACTGACTTGGGTAGCCATGTTCTTCAGAAAGAAAAATTAATGTCACCTCGCTGACTTGAGCGAAGCTATAAATATTGGTTTACATAAGCTGTGGATTTGGTACCTACTGTATAAAACCTTTCCCTTCCAATTATGTCTTTCACTATCCTTTATAAACAACTAAACCTATCAGAAAGGAAAAAAAAAAAAAAAAAAACAAACAAAAAACAAACCCACACCAATTCCCCAAACAACAATGCAATAAAATAAAGATTTCTAAATCGTGTATTTCCACCACATGAATACATAAGAACAAGGCCATGACCATAAACATCAGAAAAAAATCTCTGAAGTGACAGCTGAGGGAGGATGCGTGATCTTCACAAGACACACCCCAACCTCTAAAACGTAATTCCACAAAATGTTTCGAACAGCAACTGCAGCCTTAACAGCTGGGTTTTGTTTAAGATTTGAAACAGTAAAAGATTTTAGATTAGATGCCCATTTAGGTATACATTGCACTGATACATTGTGGTTTAGGCATTTTTATGGTTGTAGATAAGTAGCAAACCTCAGGCTCCTATACTACCAGAAATTCTCCAACAGTCTCTTCAATTGTATTTTTGCTATTAGCAATTCTTCAGAGGTGAAGAGGGCAGCAAAGGAATGCTTCTGTGTCAGTGCAGAAAAGATGTATGCACCTTAATGTACACATGTGGTAAGTATGGACAGTCTTTGGTGCTCTCCTATGTAGAGGGAAGTATAAAATGAGGTATTAGTAAGAGAGAAACTTGTAACTTCTGTATGCTTCTGTACTAGCACCCATGATGTTGTGAAGTGAAGCCTTTTGAGTCCCCTTCAAGAGATCACAGACACCCCTAGCTCTTTGTTCACTTGATGTTCAGTCAACACAGATCACAAACTGTCTTACACAATACCAAAATACTCGGCACTGAGGTGGCCACGAAGCAGAGGATATAGACAATGGTGGCAACAGCAAATTAATCATTATTTACATCCAAAATGATCACATGAAGCTATAAAATAACTCAGAAATGAAGCCACAAGGTGTCAGCACTGTCCTGCGTGTTTAGAAAACAACTCTATCCTGCTTGAGAGACTTTGTTTTAACTTGTGGTACTGAACATTTGTGAAAATTCAACTGAGGTTAATCTCACTTCATTAATTCACCTCAGTTTAATGACAAAGTTATACCATCTTCAGATCAATGAAAAATAGTGTAAACTAATACAGTTTCTATAGTAGCAGAACCAAAGGAAAAAAAATCTTAATGTTAAAGTTAATGATTAAGATAACTTTGTATCTTTAGGTCTGTGAATCTTGGTTATTAAAAGAAGGGAATGAAATGCATGGTTGTAAGGCAGAGCAGTCAACTGCATGAACACAAAAATGTTCAATCAGTGGAAAAAGCATGCAAATAGCATGAGGAAGACCTGTGGGCCCAGAGCACTATCTTTCAGGTTAGCCCACGTGGTAGCTGTGTGCATGGAACAAGAGCTGGATATACAGAGATCTGAATAACAGAAGAATGGTTTGGATTCATCAGGTTTGTGACAAAATGCCTTACTGATCCATCACTGGTTACATACCACAAGATAAACAGAACATAATTTAAGACCCTCTACTGGGTATATTTAGGCCTCTATTGATCACAGTCGCTTGGGCAGTGCACAGGTAAGTGACACTCACGAGATCCATCCTTTCTTGCACCCTGCAACTACAGGGTAGCAATACTACAAACACAACAAACAGACCACACAGTGTAAAAGCAATACATTTCTTGTTGCCCTGAGCCAAATTGTCTTCTCAGCCCAGCAGCAAGGAGCTAAAATACCTGTTCAAATCTGAGAGATCTCAGAAATTAAAGCATCCCTTTTTGAGAGACCTCTAAAGCTGCTTTTGCTTGCTGAGTATGATGGGACTTCCTCCTCTCTGATATAATTTAATTTTCTTCTTGTCTGCAAAAGCCTGTTCTGATTGCTTCAGGACCTGCTCTGTCTGGCCAGGGAATAGGGCAGTGATTACAGCAGATAAAGAACACCCAAATTTGTAATCTTGCAACTTGATCATATTTGTATCAAATAGGTTACAAAAACACAACACAAAGGTCACCATAGGAAACTCTACATTCTATATACTTATAGCAGGTTAATATTTTGTTAAAGTACAGATGATTACATTTATTTACAGCTTCACTGTGATTCTCACACCGGAAAAAAAAAAAAAGTAGTCTTCTCACATCTGGTAATTTGCTACTATGACAAGCCTCACTGACTTAAATGGAAATACTTGGGCTAATAAATTCAAGCCTATGGCATGGGAAGGAATTGTTGACACAGGGCAGCAGCAGAGACTTCTTTAACCTCAGAGACTTCCCCCCTCCCTTTTATAAATGCCATACCACACATTTTCTTAGACTAAAAAGGCATTTATTATAACAGTTTTATAAATATTGTTGTCTGTCACTGTCAAATAGCTAACAAGGCTCACTTGAACACCAACATTTAGTATAAAACAGATGTTACAAAGCAATACTTTAGGGCATGCACTGATTGTAAAGTAGTCCTGCAGATCACAGTAATTTCATTATGTATTCATTCAGTGTTATTTTTTCTGAAAAGACTAGAGCATAAATACAAAGAAGTTTGGCAATTTCTTCTGGACTACAAAACCTCCATTCTGTGCTCCTACCCAACCAAATGCTCACTGACTTCACACGGATGGTGGGTATTGGCACACAGAATGGTGACCAGCGAAGAGCGCAGAACACCACATAACACTATAATTACAAGTTGCTTATTTGTACGTTTCATCTGTATACTGGTCTTGAGAACGCTGAACAAAGTCAAAAGGCAGAAACAGCATTTCAGGTTCAATCATTACACTTCATGTAATACAAAACAAGTGGCAAGAGTTCACGCAGTTACGACAGCCTGCTTACTTGCAGGGAGGTTAAAGCAAACCAGACCTCAGGATATATAAATCAGAAATGCCAAGGCACACCAGGCATCTCTTTTAACCTAAACAGACCTCATGATACTTCAAATATGCTAACAAAATATATCTGCCTAAATAAAGGCTGGGAATATCACACACAAATGTCAGGGTCCCACCATTTAATTTTTCCAATAGGTTTGGAATTTAATCTTTGATTTTCTATTTCAAGACCTGAGTGATACTTCTAGCTTTAAAAGAAATCTATTGTGGTAGTTTTTTCTATTTCAATGTTTATTCCTTGTTTCATGTCATCAACTGTGAAAAACTGAAAAAGAAATCATTCCTTTATAGGGGAGCAGCCAAGTATTTCAGAAGCAGATATCATATTCTGTAGTTAAATAACAAGAATT